AAGGCAAGGCAAGTTTATTTATATAGCACCTTTCAACACAAGGTAATTCAAAGTGCTTTACAAAAATGGAAGACATTTTAAAAATGGCATTTAAAATCAGTCATTAAAAAGGAAAGATAATAAAATAAACATTAAAAGAAAAAATACATGGATAAAAGTTAAAAGTTACAGTGCAGTTTAAGATGTGAATAGTTCAATTAAAAGCAGCGGCAAAAAGAAAAGTCTTCAGCCTGGATTTAAAAGTAGTAAGAGTTGCAGCGGACCTGCAGGTTTCTGGGAGTTTGTTCCAGACATTCGGAGCATAATAACTGAATGCTGCTTTACCATGTTTAGTTCTGACTCTGGGGACAGAAAGTTGACCAGTCCCTGAAGACCTGAGGGTTCTGGATGGTTCATAATTTAGCAGTAGGTCAGACATGTATTTTGGGCCTAAACCATTCAAAGCTTTATAAACCAGCAACAATATTTTGAAATCTATTCTTTGACACACAGGAAGCCAGTGTAAAGACTTCAGAACAGGAGTGATGTGATCCACTTTCTTAGTGTTAGTGAGGACTCGAGCAGCGGCGTTCTGAATTAGCTGCAGCTTTCTAATAGATTTTTTAGTGAGGCCTGTAAAGACACCATTGCAGTAGTCGAGTCTACTGAAGATAAAAGCATGGACAAGTTTTTCCAAATCCTGCTGTGACATTAGTCTTTTAATCCTAGATATGTTCTTTAGGTGATAGTAGGCTGATTTAGTAACTGTTTTAATGTGACTGTTGAAACTCAGGTCAGAGTCCATGACTACACCTAGATTTCTGGCTTTATCTGTTGTTTTGAACATTGCAGACTGAAGCTCAGCGCTAACTTTTATACGTTCTGCCTTGGCTCCAAAAACCATTACCTCAGTTTTATCTTTGTTTAATTGGAGAAAGTTCTGACACATCCAGTCATTGATTTGTTCAATGCACTTACTCAGTGTTTGAATTGGAGCATAATCTCCTGGTGAAATTGTTACGTAAATTTGTGTGTCATCGTAGAGATCACTTACAGTATCTTCTTGATATTTTCTATTCTATATTATTTATATCATTGACCTTCCACTTTCCCACTATATTAAGAGTATGTACTGTACTCTTAATATTTAAATGTTTTCATCAAATATAACACATTCAAAAGTGCTTTACAAAAATGAAAGACATTAAGAAAAAGGCATTTTAAAACAGTCATTAAAAAGCAACACAATCTACCTGCATTGCAATTACTCTAAACGTGTAATAACGTGCTTTAACCAGTAGGAGGTGCGGGTTAAAAAGCTGTCAAGTTTACAGTGTTAACAAAATAAAATATACTGCTGTTTCTGGTTTAGTTTACGACGGATATATTCTGTTATTGTTTTGATATTTGTAACACAAAAGCGATGTAAAAAACCCACAGCAACACAGAAAAGATGGTCTTAACATGACCCAGCGGTCTAGTAGTTAATAAAAAACAATAATATCAAAACAAATTATTACTACTAACTTTATTGTGAAATTAAAACAGAACGGTAAAATAATAGTTTCCGGTCTATTCTGAGGCCCGATCTCTGTAGATAAATAAAGAACTACGACAGATGTGCAGAGATGGGGTCGTTACTAAAAAAAAAGTAATATATTACATATTACATATTACTTTAAAAAAAAGTAATATATTACACTACTTCGTTACTCTCTACATAAAGTAACTCGTTACTTTACTCGTTACTTTACTCGTTACTTTACTCGCAGGGCCGGCCAGCCCCTCCCTGCAGGCAGATCACGCAGACTGCTAAAGTTTCAAATGTTCTCTTTAGTTCAGTTTCCATTGTCGCATAAGACTGATCCAGATAGCTCTGACCATGGCTGTCCTCTGTCTCCTGCTATCTGTATTTTGCGCAGTATATCTCTGAACGATGCGATGGTGATTCCACTGTGCAAATGGGCAACATTACCTCTACTATGAAGGATGCTACAAGCCTGTCCATCTCTGCTTTGGTTACCGGTCCTCCAAATTCTTGCGGCGGCGCACTCACAACATCCTCACTCTGGGTTCGGGGGTCCTTAGCTATTAGCTTCACCTTAGCATGTGTTCTTTGCAGGTGTTTGTTGAGGTTTGACGTGGTGTTTACAGCAGTGGATGAAAGACATTAAGAAAAAGGCTGGCTGGCTTCTGGCCTGGACACAGTTTGCACCTCACCGTCACATTCCTGTCTATTCTTCGGACGAACTCAAAATAATGGGCATACCTCCACCCCTCGAAAGTTATCGCTGACTCAGCCATGTTTATGCAGCACTGCACGCGGAGATGTGGACGTGCAAGTCGCGCAGATTACGTACATATAAACCTGCGGCGGAAACCCCTCTTGTCTGTCAGTGTGATTATGACTGATTTTATAAAAGTAACGAAGTAACGCGTGTCGGGGCAATGTTAGTAACTGTAGTGTGATTACTGAATTATAAAAGTAACGCGTTACACTACTCCGTTACCGACAAAAGTAATATTATTACAGTAACGCGTTACACTACTCCGTTACCGACAAAAGTAATATTATTACAGTAACGCGTTACACCCAACTCTGCTGGTGAAGCTGGTATACCAGCATGGCGTTGCTGGTGAAGCTGGTATACCAGCATGGCGTTGCTGGTGAAGCTGGTATAGCAGCATGGTGTTGCTGGTGAAGCTGGTATACCAGCATGGTGTTGCTGGTGAAGCTGGTAAACCAGCATGGTGTTGCTGGTGAAGCTGGTATACCAGCATGGTGTTGCTGGTGAAGCTGGTAAACCAGCATGGTGTTGCTGGTGAAGCTGGTAAACCAGCATGGTGTTGCTGGTGAAGCTGGTAAACCAGCATGGTGTTGCTGGTGAAGCTGGTATACCAGCATGGTGTTGCTGGTGAAGCTGGTAAACCAGCATGGTGTTGCTGGTGAAGCTGGTAAACCAGCATGGTGTTGCTGGTGAAGCTGGTATACCAGCATGGTGTTGCTGGTGAAGCTGGTATACCAGCATGGTGTTGCTGGTGAAGCTGGTAAACCAGCATGGTGTTGCTGGTGAAGCTGGTAAACCAGCATGGTGTTGCTGGTGAAGCTGGTAAACCAGCATGGTGTTGCTGGTGAAGCTGGTATACCAGCATGGTGTTGCTGGTGAAGCTGGTATACCAGCATGGTGTTGCTGGTGAAGCTGGTAAACCAGCATGGCGTTGCTGGTGAAGCTGGTATAGCAGCATGGTGTTGCTGGTGAAGCTGGTAAACCAGCATGGCGTTGCTGGTGAAGCTGGTATACCAGCATGGCGTTGCTGGTGAAGCTGGTAAACCAGCATGGTGTTGCTGGTGAAGCTGGTATACCAGCATGGTGTTGCTGGTGAAGCTGGTAAACCAGCATGGTGTTGCTGGTGAAGCTGGTATACCAGCATGGCGTTGCTGGTGAAGCTGGCATAGCAGCATGGTGTTGCTGGTGAAGCTGGTATAGCAGCAGGGTGTTGCTGGTGAAGCTGGTAAACCAGCATGGCATTGCTGGTGAAGCTGGTATAGCAGCATGGCGTTGCTGGTGAAGCTGGTATAGCAGCATGGTGTTGCTGGTGAAGCTGGTAAACCAGCATGGTGTTGCTGGTGAAGCTGGTATACCAGCATGGTGTTGCTGGTGAAGCTGGTATACCAGCATGGTGTTGCTGGTGAAGCTGGTAAACCAGCATGGTGTTGCTGGTGAAGCTGGTAAACCAGCATGGCGTTGCTGGTGAAGCTGGTAAACCAGCAATGTCTCATTAATGAAGCTGGTCTACCAGCATGTTTATACAGGTATAGTATTGCAGCCAGTATTACTCTTGTGATTAGAAAAAGAATCTCTCAGTTTTCAATAAATAAAAGTTAAAAGGTTTTATTTCCAGTATCAGTTTCAAAATGTCAACTTTTTACTTGTCATTAAAATCCCTTAATGAAATATATTCCTTAGTGTAATATTAATGTTTACTCTTGGTAGTGTCGTGACGGGTCGTTCCCCTCGGAGCTGTGGCTGGGCGTGAGTCGGGAGGCGATCTCTGTGTATAAGAGAGGAGAGCCGTGGCCTCTGGAGGTTTTCCCGTACGAACAGATCCTCTCTTTCGGAGCTCCGCTGGCCAGCGCCTACAAGATCACTGTGGAGGGCCGAGAGCTGGTGTTCGACACGCAAATGGTTCGTAACAACAAGTCAATGGTTTCTTCATGTCGAGATATTATACACACGTGGTCTTTATAGAGAGTGCTACCGAAGCTCTTAAACTATGGGCTGTTTAGGGTTGCTTTTCCTAACACTGATGAGGCTGAAAGTGAGTCGCTCTGGTAGAACAGTAAAAAAAGACTCTCCCAACCTCTGTTACGTTAAGGGAAAAACATCATGTGGTAAAGGAAAGATGTGAAGGAGAATCAGAGTCTGACTGCATTTACACTGGGCGACGTAAACATGATGCTAGGCGGATGTTTAGAAGCGGTGGGGACAGTATAGTTTATCGAAGATTGACTGCGAAAACGCCGTGATCTGCGTCTTCCAAATGATGGTGTTGCATAAATGTCGACAACGATGAGAAATTCATACTAAAATTGGAATTGAGAAAAAAGTGAAGTGAAAGGAAATGGGGTTGCTAACACTCACCTGCTCCCTCCTGTCCACTCATGATGACATCAGGACTACATGCTGTCTCCAGGCTCTGCAGCTCTACCAGAGTCCTGTTGTTAACCAGGAAATGTTGAGTACCCCAAAGTGTTTTGTTTGAAATGTATAGTACAGGTTAGCACATAATACCTTTCAAGCTGATCGAGGTCCTCCGCTTCTCGTCGGGTATTCTTTTCCTCATAATGACCTGCACATTGTCCCTCACATAGCATATGTATATCAGGTAAGAGAAAGTCATAGAAATGTAAAATAAAAAAGGTTAATTGTAAAATATTTTACAAAATATGCTATGGGAAAAAAATGTAAACTCAAAGCATCACAACTGACCTTTAAGGTAAATAAAGACACGAGTCCTTCTCAAATAAACTGCCTTCTTTTATTATCTTCATATTCATCTCAAAAACAAATTATACAAATATCAACACATTTGAAAACAAAATAGAAAATTATATTTTTTAACAATTACACCAATGTGTTTAACAAAAACTGCCATAAACATGAGAGATCAACTGGATTGGCCTCAGATGTTAATAACATAAAAGCTGCTAAACATCAATGCTAGCAGTACAAGCAAGAGCCAATGCTAAGCTAATCTGAAGACACATGTCAATGCTAAAACTCACAGGCCGAACAAAACAGCTCAACTAGTACGGAGAGGATTAGGGCCAGGGGAAGGAATGTTGGGATGTGGGATTCTGAAATTAAAGTAAAAAAAAAAAAAGGCTATTTCTTTCCTCAGAATCCTGAGATTAAGGTCATACCTCAAAAACATTGTTTACTGTTGGTCACGTGTGGCCCTAATCCTCTTCCGTAAACTAGATATTTTTGTTTGCTTTTTATTCCAGAGTTTATTCTATTAAGTGATCACAAAATCTTTAACAACCTTATTACACACAAAGTTAGGACGTCCAAAAATCCCACGATCCTGACAGTGTTGAACTCATCACTATTTCAAATGTCAATGATCTTCATGTAAACAAGCTTTGAAGTTTGGCACGTGGAATAATCAAAATGATCTGATTCTAATACAACGATCTTAATATACATTAACAATATATGTTTTCCTTTTAATCACACACACACACTTGATGTCATTTGACATTCTCAGATATCAAATTCTTCAGCACAGGCACCAGAAAAACATGACATTGATTATTATAAATAATAGTTATCTCTATTAGAAGATGAGATAAGTCAACATCATATATGTACAAAATATTAAAAAAGTCATGCAGGTAAGGTAAGCAGGTTCACAACATATGGAATAATCACACAGCTTTGTTTATCAGCCATGATGGAGCTCAGCGTCAGGGTGCGAGTGAATCATGAAACCTGATGTTTATGAAGCCTTCTGATTGGCTCTGAGCTGAACTCCATCATGCACACATCTTTGGTCCACGGCAAGGTATTTCAAAAGCCAGTGATCGGATATCTATGAAGTGTTTTGACCCCTTGACCTTTGTCTTTGGTCCTTTAACCACCGGGACAACACTCAATTAACATGTTCAATTAACTTTCATCTAGCGCCACATTCACTACACGCAGGATATTTCAGAATCTCACCTTCCTTTTGGTCAGGAATGTGATGCAGTCTCCATGGTTGTGTGGAATAAATGACATTTCCTGAGTGTTGTTCCACCATGACATCACCTCACCTCCTCCTCAGAACTCCACACTATGACTCACATATGGCAGATGATCACTTCTGGTTTCAGGAAGGAGTCTTTTGAATGTGTTTGATATGAAAGAACTTTGAAGAACGAGTCTTTCAAATTGAATGAGTCAGAAAAATTGTCTCTTTTTTTTTCTCGACTTCACAAACACTTTTGATTACTGAGCGTCTCAAAATGAAAAGGAATGACTTCATTTACATCTCCTCTGGTTACCTGCATTACCCCGCTGCGATCGCGTTTGGCACAGCTTCCCTCGCAGTCTGCTGACGAGTCATTTCCTGGAAAGCAGAATGGTATCCCGCCATCAGCGAGCGGCTGTCAGTCTCATGAGGAAGTGTCTTCATCCTGCTCATAAAGGGTCCGTCAGACGGCCGTCTCCTGGTCCTCTCTCTGGATCATCTGGTAGTGCTGTCTGTTCTCCAGGTAGGCGGCCAGCTCAGAGTCCTGAGCCTTCTCAGCCCGGTTCTTCGGAGTCTCGCCCTGACAGAGACACAGAATACACATTATTTGTCTCATTGCTACTTCCTTCTGTTCTTAACTCCACCAGCAGACACACATTTACAGTCTAAGCTCACTCAACAGAGAGAGGCTAGCTTGTCATCAAATGCATCTTCAACTTCTATTATTAAACACTGACAAAACCATAGTTATTATACAGCACTTGGCCACCAACACATTCAGAATGAAGTATCAAATGACTTAATTACTCTTGATGGCCTCGAGATCTGCAGTAAAAAATATTGGCATTATCTTTGACGAAGATTTGTCCTTAAAGCAAGTTTTAGGGACCTTCATCTGTATCACAAAAATCAGACACTTCCTAACTCAGAAAAACTCACTGGCCACGCCCCTCTGAGAAGTGATTGGATAAAAAAACACAATGGTGCTCTAGGAGGAGATTCAGGTGATAAGGTGGGGGGGGTGATTGGCTAATCGTTGCACAAGCCATAAAACATTGTGACATCACAAAGTGGCCAAAATCAGATTTTCAGACAGGTTTTTATATAAATGGATTGTTCCTGAAACTTTCAGAATCTCTTTACACAGAGGGGACACAGGACAAAGTGGATTTTGTGTAATAGGTGCCCTTTAAAGCTAATGAACGAAGTCGTAACTGTAAAATCTGAGCCCAGCAGGAAACACCCCCACAACACATGCTATGCTGCACCCGAGCAAGCCTTTCTCCACGGCAACAGTTGGAGTAGAGTGTGTGTCTTAACACAGTCAGACCTGCTCCGACTGTGGACAGACGAACAACATGCTGGTGGCTAACACGTTAGCTGCAGTGTGAGCTGGGATGAACACTCTGAGTCTCGTTAACAATAAAACAGGCTTTTGTTCCAGACTTATTCCCACGATCCTCCGCTCCCCTCTGTGCCGGAGAGATTGTGCCGTTTCATTAGGCTGCGTGTCTGAAACCTGTGTGATAGAGAGTTTACACACCAGCTGGCTTTTTAATGTCACATTTCTCCATCAATGGAAAAGTGCTGCTGTTAAAGTAGCATTGTCTCCAACTAATAAACACGAGACAATGAGAAAGACTGAATTACAAAAGCTATAAACAATATGTGTCCTTGAGAGAGGACACCCACACACAATCACACTCAGTAAGTGCTGAATCTCATCACAGAGTTTAGAAACACTCTAATTAGTTGAGTCTGTGTGTGTGTGTGTGTGTGTGTCTGTGTGCGTGTGCGTGTGTGTGAATATATCTTTGGGGTTCTACCAAATTTGGAAACATGTACAGATTGAACAGATTTGTTAACGGACATGTCGATGGTCATCTCGTCTAAAGTCATTTCTGTCTCCTTCTCTCTTGTTGTCTGTCTCTCTCTTACTCTCTCTCTCTGTGTCACACTCTCTGCACCCCCCACCCCCCTTTTCTGTGTATCTAGGTCATTGCTGAGTCCAGACAGTTAGGAGCTTTTCTACACTGTTGAAACATCAGTGGAAAACTGCACCAAAATGAAAGATGAAGCATGTTTGAGAGCAGGGGGGGCCGGTGATTCCTGACCATCACACCTGTATGAGCTTGGTGGACATCCCATAGTAGAGCAGTGGCCATTAAATGGAGTCTTATTGTGGCTCTGAAAGCTGCTACTCTTCTGGGAAGGCGTGTGTCTGTCAGAGTGGGTTCCATTAGTCTTGAGGGGCATGTAGGGGGCGGTACATTGGACCAGAAGCCCTGGTTCCAATCTGAGTCCTCACTCCCAAAGGGGTTCAGTAGGGACCAGTGCAGGGTTCTGTAGACCACTCAAGCTCCTCCACAAAGGGCCTACCCCAAGCATTTGTCAGAAAATGTGAAGTGTCCGCCTGGCTTACATGTCTTTGTCTCCTGTAGCATGAAGAAGACCCTTCCCCAGGACTTATAGGCTTAAAGCAAAACCCCAAAACAGCCCCAGTGGCTCAGTCTGTAGGGACTTGGCTTAAGAAATGGAGGGTTGCCAGTTAAAGTCCCAGGACAGACCATGTTGGGAGAGTGGACTGGTGCTTTGAGAGCCAAAGCAAAGCCGACAGGTGCTATAACATTCTCCTGGCATATGAAAAACCCAGATACTAAGAACATAATGAAGCATGATTCAACTCTGTGAATCATGCTTCCACTGCTCCAGATAATACAACTGGTATTTTAAAACAGATTATTATTGTGATTTAATTGTTTCAATCAATTGACTGCACTAGAATTATGTTTCAATAATTCATCTGTTTTGTTATAGAAGTACTGCTATTTCTTTAGGGTTGTATTTGCATTCAAATTTGGATGATATTCGTGACATACAGTATAATGTAATGATTTGTTCAGGAGATGCTAAATCCATCTTTAAAGGCATGCACATACACGTAATGGGTTAGAATTAAGTGGTTCAAAACAACATGGTGGCACATATGAAGAGAGTGCTCTGTACTGTAGATTGACTATGTATTTGACAGTTGAAACTCTGATGTGCATTGAGTGCAGCTGGTAAATGGCGTACTTTCCACACAGCCTACCTGCAGGTCTGTCTTCATCAGCGAGGCTCCTGCTTCCACCAGGTAATGGCAGATGGTCCTGTGGCACAGAGAGGCAGCACGATGCAGAACCGTCTCCCCACTGGTGGTTTAGAGGGGGGGGGGGGGGGGGGGGCAGAGGGGGAGAGCGAGCATGAGAGAACAGCAGCATCTTCTGAGAGTCAGGCCTCCTTGATGATCAGCACCCAGAGCACTGTGTTTGGTTTGTATGTTTATGTATTCTCTTTAAGGTCCACTTGTTGGGATGCCCTGCACATATAGACAGCCAGTGGAACATCTTCAAAGCTACAGTACAAGCTTCACAACATTTTCTCAGCAAAAAGAATAATTGTGATCAAATTTCAAACTCTTTATCATTGGTTTAAAGGCGATAAAGGTTTCCATGACTGTACTCACTGCTGATTTTCTGTGACATCGAGCAGATCACTGGGAGCTGGAAGAGAGAAGGAGATTAGACCACAGCATCACTACTGACAATCTGTTATACACATCATAATCTTTAAACCACTTTATTTAATGCATTTTGTATCCAACAGTGGCATAACACTAATACTCAGTGAAATGGTGGTGAGCAATCACATGGAAATATTTAGGAAAATTAATTGAATGCTATTTTCACCCATGTTTCACTTTTATTAAACCCATATTACACTGTTATGAGACCCATATAACACCAATATTGCACCCATATTACACTATTATCACCCCACTAATATACCAAAATTACAGTTATTACACCCACATTTATACACCCCTATTACATCCATGTTTCACTATTATAACACCCATATTAAACCCATGTTTCAATATTATTTCACTTTTTTTTAGACCCCTGTTAAACCAATATTACACCCACTAAAATGATTCTGTTAATACACCCATTTTGGACACAGCCTGTCAAATGACTGTATCCCCCAGGATGCAGAAACAGTTTTAAAGTGAACTAAAAACAATGAGCAGCATAAGAAGTGGATACTTTAATGCGGTCAAAAGTGAGTAACCTGCCATATTATTCATCATGACCTACGCTTGACTTTAAATGCAGAAAAACACATGTTCTAAAAGTAAAGCTGAATGCAACAGTTCATGGATAAGAATAACTATTTTGTCAAATCGAATCCGATTACAACATAAAGTACATTGTACCGCACCATTGTCCAGGATGTAGCGGACCATCTCCTTGCTTCCTGCAGAGACGGCGTGGTGCAGCAGACTGCAGCCTGTCGCGTCAATCACCGTAAGCTCCGCCCCCTTCAGGTGCAGCTCCTGCAGCTGTGGGTGGAAGAGCGGCTGGATTAGCTTTAAAATGGAAAACAACGTGCAACATTCTGATACAGGGAGGTAGCTTTCCAATCAGCAGAGGTGGACAAATAACTCAGATCTTGTCCTTAAGTACAAGTATAAAAGTCCTTCGATCAAAATGTTACTCAAGTATAAATTGAAAAGTATTAGCATCAAAACATACTTAAAGCACCAAAAGTAGAAGTACTTATTATGAAGATTGGCCCATGCCAGAATAATACAGTGGCAAGAAAAAGTATGTGAACCCTTCTCTGACATTATCCTGCGGGATATCATGATACACTTGAGAATTCATTTTTCTTTTGACAATGGCAAACTGTCCAGGCCCCGAGTCGGCAAAGCAGCCCAAGATCATGATTTGACTGAACATCGCCTTTGGGATGATGTTATCATTTGATATGCAGTGCTTTATTTCTGCCATACGTACAGTAGTGCTGCGAGTTCTTCCCCTATAATTCAACATTAGTTTAATCACACTACCTAACAGTTTCCCAGCAGCGTTGTGCAAATCAACAATTCTTGATCGTAGGTCTATTGAGGACAGATTGTGTTCGTTCATTTTTGTTACTTAGGTGAAGACCATATTTTGGAACAAATGTATACATAAATGCAGGTTGTTCCAAAGGGTTCACTTACTTTTCTTGTCACTGTATATATGATATGTTTTGATTATAACTATTGAAAGTGTTATCAAAGCGGGTAAAGGTGCAGCTGGTTTGAATGACTTTGTATGTGTCATTGTGAATTTACTCTTTTGCCGATACCACCTTGTTCGGAAGTAGTATAATTTCAAGAAGCTAAACAGACATGGAGTTATATGTTAAGTGATAGCAAACACTGTTTTGAGAGACAACATTACATCTGTTGTTATTAATGGTTATTGATTCATTCCATAAACTCACCTTCTTCTCATCCTTGTTCTTCACACACTCGATCAACATCTCTGACAGAGAGACAGACAGAGACAAGATAGTCAATATAAACTCATGTAAATGAAAATGCTAAATACCCCACCAATCTGCAGGCAGAGGTGAATGGAGTAAATCATCTCTCTTTGGCAAAAAGCACATTCTCTGTGTACCAATCAGAATCCAGCACATTTGAATGAGCATCTGATGACAGTTGGTATGTTGTTTGGTCACAGTCAATATAATCTAATCAGAGCACACAGTCCGGATGCTGCAGATTAGCTGCTAGTCGTGCAACATGAATATGTGCTTCTTTAGATTATGTGGTGCACCATTATGTATTTGTTTACAAAAGTTTGATAAATAAATTGTAGCTTACGGGAAACGATGGTGTTATACAACAGTCTTGCATGAACCCTATCTCTAAAGCTCAGGTTCATATTGTGTTCATATTTCTATCAATCTCCACATTCTAATAAAAACAGGTAAATATACAATGTGGCGTTCGCATACAGTTCCAGATAGTGAATTAGACAAAGGTAATAAATGGTGATAATGGAAACCATGTGAAACACAGACTGCAGCCTTATGAGGTGAATGTTTATTAGGTTGACCTCAATACTCGCTCTCACTCCTCTCTCTAAATAGCTGAGTCCTAATCCAGTTATGTGAGGCTTAGAGGGGTGGGGGGGTGGTGGGGTGGGGGAGAAAGAGAGAGACTTCAGAAATCTCTAATAGCGTTTGTGCCTGTAAGACAAACCAAAAACAACACACAAAGCACAAACAGCCAACACACACACACACACACACTGTTAGATGCAAGAATTAAAGTCATTTAGCCCAGGGAAGGAATTAAAATAAAGCAGAGAAAATGAGGGGTCGGTCCAAAGACATGAGGAGGGGAGATTTATGGAAGCAGAGAGGATATGCAAGACCTGCCCCCCCCCCCTTCTTTCTGTCTCTTCAAAGAACCCCTACACACACACACAGCTCCCATAAGGGTCAGACAGGTTGTCTGCATCAAACTGAGGGTTCAATGGAGCAAGTGACACAAGTGTGTGTGTGTGTGTGTGTGTGTGTGTGTGTGTGTGTGTGTATGTGAGAGAGAGAGAGAGAGAGAGAGAGAGAGAGAGAGAGAGAGAGAGAGAGAGAGAGAGAGAGAGAGAGAGAGAGAGAGAGAGAGAGAGAGAGAGAGATTGAGAGAGGAACCATGTCTGCATTAGAATAAGAATAAGAAGAGGTATGCATGTAGCATAAAAAAGAGGTTTGCTCCTTTTTTCTTGAAACAAACTGCATCGGTATCAGACATGGCTTCAGCTGAAATCAAGTATATCTAAAATCAACATTCACACGTGTAAGAGGTGAGAGGGACATCTAAATCAAATAGGTACTGCTTCATATGAACAATATTTTCAAACGTATTTATTTTAGAACATCTGTCAGTACAGTCACACTGAAGGGCTTTCAGTGTAGAGGCTCATTCATCACAGCAGTACAATGTCTTTCAATAAACATGTGAGTACTGTGTAAGGAAATAACTGAACCGATCAACTGAAATATTGTTTTTAGAACTGTTAAGAGATGTATGTTATATAATATTTTATGATTGAAATCTAAAGAAAACGTATAACCTGTGGATTATTTGTGTCTCATACTCAGAGTTTATAACAAAGATACTGTGGGATAGAGACTAACATCATAGAAGGTGTGTGTGTCAAACACAGATGTTCTATGTGCTTCCAGGGGTCACACCCTATTTATTTCGTCTAATATTTTTACTTTGTGAACAACTAATCCATGTGAATGACTCAAATCCTTCATCTTGTTCAAAGTCAAAATAGGTCTAGTTGTTGACACAAGACATGTTACATTGAATCCTCCCAAGATGTTGTACAAATGCACAGAGTTTGATATCCAGGTTTAAAGCCTTTTATATTCAAATGTGAAAACTTGTTGAAACTTACTCCAGCTAGAATGATCCTTTAAAGATGTCATTGAATGCATGTGTATCTTAAGTAGCTGGGATTACTTGCTGGCTCAACATGTGTCTTTGAGAAATAACAGCCTTTCTGTATCAGTGGCTGCTGTTGCATCATGGGACAGATTCCAGACACTTCTTAATCACTGACTGCGAGAACTGGGTTGTGTTCAGCTTAAGTGGCAAAAACACCAAAACTGGAATCCAAAATAAACTGCTGGCAAACTCGGCGCAGAGAGAGAAACCACGGAGACGCTGACAGACAACTCCCAGCATGCAACGAGAGCGCCCAGAGACACAGGTGGAGGAAATATGTGTCAGAGAACAAAAACTGTCTGTCTGGAGACACAGGAGCTGTCCCACTTTTCTTTATATCACACACACACACACACACACACACACACACACACACACACACACACACACACACACACACACACACACACACACACACACACACACACCACACACACACACACACACACACACACACACACACACACACACACACACACACACACACACACACACACACACACACACACACACACACACACACACACACACACACACACACACACACACACACACACACACACACACACACACACACACACACACACACACACACACACACACACACACACACACACACACACACACACACACACACACACACACACACACACACACACACACACACACACTGTAGGTAGTGTGTCCCTGCTGTTACCGCTTGTCTCTAATAGATTCATCTACAGTAAATGACATGTACAGCAGAGGTGGAAGAAGTATTCAGATTCTTTGTTTACTATTGTCAATATACTTCATTACAAATACATTTGAAATCCTACTTAAGTACAAACATTTTATCAGCAAACTGTGTGTATATAATTATATTTATATATGTGACATTTCTATATGATATTGTTGCATCAAGTAGCATTTAACTGTTGTAGACAAACAAAGTTCTCATTGACTTTTTGTAAAATATTTAAATAATTTGACTCTTTTGTGATGACTTAAAGAGTTACTAACTAGTTACATTTTTAGAGATGAATTTTGTAAAAAGTAGCTACTGTAAAGCTGTTTAATAAATGTAATGGAGTACAATAACATTATTTCCCCTTTAAATGTAGTGGAGTATAATTACTAGGTAGCACTAAATAGAAATACTCAAGTAAAGTACAAGTACAGTACTCAGTAAAGGTACATAAGTATTTCCAACCTATGATGTAAACACAGATCTGAACATCGTAGCTGACTGTGTGTGTGTGTGTGTGTGTGTGTGTGTGTGTGTGTGTGTGTGTGTGTGTGTGTGTGTGTGTGTGTGTGTGTGTGTGTGTGTGTGTATTACCTGTTTCTCGCTCCCTCTCAGTCTCGCTTGTCTTCTGGATCTTCTCCTGTCTGGACAAAGAACAGCTGATCAACCACTTCCTGTTCATTGATACATTTGCAGTGCTCAAAAACATGAACACAGGTCTTTTTGACACCTGTGTGTTGTCAGTTTTCATACACTGGTCCTAAACAAACAAGATTTTTTTCAACTGCATCTTTTTCCGTCTGGATTAATAATTAAAGGAACTAATCTGGTGTAAACAAATACAGAAAAATCATGTTAAATACATGTTTTTATAACTAAACAAAAGATGTGATCCACACACACATATTGGACTTTTCAGGGTGCAGGCATCACTGCATGTACTTCCTTTGACGGTGGCATAGTGTTTTAATGAGCGGAGGACTGTTTTGCTTTAATGAGTACCGGTATGTTTTAATGAGCAGCGTCATGTGACAGAAACTCGGCTCAAACTGACAAAATCACAGAGCTGTGAGAACGGGTTGGTGGTGAATGAAAAGTCCACACAGAGACAGTAATGTAATGTCCTCTCTTTGTGTGTTAGCTTTACAGGTTAGTGCTGAGACATTATTCCATGTCCTATGTTAAGAGGTTCATTGTGATGTTCTGTGATTTGTTGATTTAAATGTGTTTGCAGGTGTTCTTACCTCAGTCTTGGTTTGAAATCAGCAGCAGTGGTGTTGGAACGATGGATGCAACCCGCCCTGCAAAACACAAATCAGACACAGAACATATGAGAACATAACGATACATTTACATGTATGAATGTGTCATAAAAGGCTCCTTTGTTTTGCACTTAAAAGGACAGTAGTAGTGTAGAGCCGGCCTTTGCAAAGTGAAATGAGTGCAAACTTTGGGTTACTTCCTGTTGGGAGTAAATACTTGATTCTGTACCTATGTTCGGGGACCACGCCTCCGTACCAGTGACTGTCCCCTGTCTTTTTCATGAAGAATTAAAGAGTAAAACATTTGAGAGAAGTCTCAAGATGCTTCAGTGCTCTAACTGGAAGTGACGATGGCCACATACGCTTTCTGTGGTAACAAATCAATAGACTGCTCTTTAACCAAATGAACAGCAGTAAAGTGGTACGTTACTTAAATAGTCAAATGTATAACCTTTATTTGTATATTGCTGTGTTTACTGTACCAACTGCAACTGCAGCTGGTCTCGTAACTTCTGTTGTGTAGCAAGATGGAGATTGTTGAGTGTGAGAAGGGTTCAATGGTGAAGAGGTTTCTTCATCTGCATGTGTTTTGGCACATTTGTAATTTTATATTTGCATTGTTTCTGAAAGGGATGTTCTCCTGATGGAAGATTTTCTGGGCTGTTGCGCCCAGCAAGCGAGAGAGACAGCATCTGTTTGCTCACCTTTGTTTGCATTAATGCAGGCTTTTTCTTTTCTGGTTAACTTGTCAAATCACCAATTATGTAACCGTTGTTGTACTTGGAGCGTCTTCTTTGCCAACAAAAACGATAAAGTGTGTGTGTCTGAGTGAACTCACCTGCTGAGCTTACTGGCCACAGGTGCAGCGCTGTGTGTCAGAGCTTCAGCTGCAGAGCTGTCACTGTTCACTCGCTGCCTCTGGGAAGAGCTGCTGCAGAACACAGAGAACAACAAAACAAGCTCCTTCAGAAGTAGTTACGACATATTTTCCCTAAAGACATTTCTTTTGGTGAACCTTTTAGGGTATTTAACATCCCTGTCAGGTCATTCAAAGGAAAACACTCTCATCATTTTAAATGTGAGACCCTATGTCAGTTAGTGATGACTGTAAAAACTCTGAGCCACAAGCTTCACTGCAGTCAGGGTATCTGAGGAACGTGGATCCTGTCTTGATAAAGAGTTGAGCACTGAGATAATGAGCATAAGTGACATAACACCAGAAGAAAAGTGTTTTAAGCAGAAGTTATGTGACATTGCTCAGGGTGTTCAATACGTGAAGAAAAAGCAGCGTATAGCAGTATTTCCATTTATGCTACTTTGTTCTTCTTCTCCTCTACAGTTCAGAGGTAAATGTTGTACTTTTCCTCCACTACATGTATTTAATACCTTTAGTTACTTTACAGATGTGGATGAATGATGTGAAATATAATCAAGTGTTAAATCAGACTTTAGTTCCACCTGGAGTAAATCCACAAGCTACCCTGCAGTATACAAAGTCATTCAAACTAGCTGCACCTTTACCAGCTTTGAGAACACTTTCATGATCAATCATTATAAAACATATCATATATATTATTCTGAAATGGACCAATCTGCACATATCTTTGGTACTTTAACTTTATTTTGATGCTAATACTTTTGTACTTTTACTTGAGTAAAATGTTGAATGCAGGACTTTTACTGTAACAGAGTATTCCTACACTCTGGTACTTCAACTGTTACTCAAGTACAAGATCTGGGTACATGGCTCAGGACAGGAGGGCTCTGCTTAAACTGCCCAGAATATCATCTGTACCAAACTACCAAGAATCATCCGAACATCTACCAACAATCTACCCATCGTCCGTGATACCTGTGAGAGGAGGAGCCTAAAGGATATTAAAATCCAATCCCCCTCCCACCACCGCCTGCTCGCGCTGCTGCAGTTGTAGAAGCGTTGCAGAAGTTTCCGGTGCCGTACCAGCAGACAGCAGATCTGTCCTCAGGCTCCTGAACTCATCCTCCACACTCCACCGCAACACAGTGTGAGGACAGTGGACGCCTACAGACTGGCTCTGTCCTGGAGGGGAGCGTGAATGTTAGGTGGTGACGTCAGGAGCTCAATGACTCTCACCCTTTACATGATGTAAAAGTCCTTAAGCAGTGGCACAATGCACCACGACACGCCAACACTTTCTCTCTGTGGCTATCATCTTCACATATTATCCACGTCACATGGAATGACTGACGGCTCATGGACACTATTCCTGGTATATTTCCACTCGTTCTACTGCTACTGCTGAATAGCCAGGATACACAAAGTTCTATCTTAGCTTACGTTGAGATTGAGGACCACAGTTTGCATCCGGCCGCTTGTTTACAATGTTTCTTTAAACAGTTTTCCAGTGTGAGCACCACCTTCTTCCTACTTAGACACGGAGTTTTATAGCCACACTTTAGGCACGGATGGTAAAGAAGACCCTCAGGCTTTATTCAGACTTCATGCACAAGTTACGCTGTTCCTACGTCAGCTACATGCATCTACTGTACATACAAATTCATTGGGAAGTAATGTATGCCACAAACTGTGATATCACCCAGAATTAGTCGAATTCACCAAGTTGTTTTTCTGGAATATCCCTCACTCCACTCTTAAAAACCCTGAGCTGATAGTCTTGTGTCTGCTTAAACAGCTTTGCACCTGATGCTGAAGAGTAAAGTGTGAAGCTATCAGCTCAGAAATCATTTCAAAACAAAATGTTTGGTGTGTGGGAGTCGTTCAGTGTGTTTGTCAGAGAGACAGAGGGATAGGGGGCAGAAGAGAGAGAGGTAATTATAGTGGGAGGAATAACGTTCACCTCTGGCCCTGCGTGGGCAAACTGTGTGTGTGTGTGTGTGTGTGTGTGTGTGTGTGTGTGTCTAAGTACAGCAGATTGGTGTGACTCTGGAGTGCACTGACTGCATTTCTCTCTCCATCCGCTGTTTTTCTGACTCCATCTTCTTCCTAAACCCTCTCGGTCTCCTCTCTCCTCCTCATCCTCCCACTCAGTGCACTCAGCATTGCAAATCAGCCCGCCAACACACATGCACACACACGTGCAAGCGCACTCACGCATAGCCGGGGGGGGAAGTGGTGTAAGGATCAGCAGGTTGTGTTGCTCTGCCTGTACTCACATTGTACCTATTACTTTATGTAGTCCCTCTTTCTGTTCTCTATGCTAATCTTTATTTTGCTTTTTTTTTAAATCCAGCTCAAATTCCTTATCCTTCAAAGTGTTTATAACAGCAGGTTTTCATATAGTCTGTTACAGCAGCTGATAATCACAGTGTTCATGCTCGATAAATCAGATAATTACACTCAGATGACATAAAGAGTAAATAGAGTTCCCGGCTGTAATCCAAACAGCCGCGTCGTTGTTCACGGGGTCATTGACTTTATCCACGCTGGCACTGCCTCGTGTTTACACTATCAACTAGCACTCGTTATGGAAACGGTACAAAAGAGCACAGATATTAAAGAGTAAACACATCACATTATGCTATCAGGAGAACAGATTACATTCGATCATATGTCATTCAGCTGGCTTCTATCCAAAGCCACTCACACACACACTCCTACAGTAGTGTGTGTGTGGGGTTAGGTATCATGATGACCCTGACTAAAGGGGGTGTGATCGAACCATGGACCGTCTGATTGGTAGGACCTATTAATGAGCCATAGATGAACATGTACCTAATTAACATATTTTTATTAATTCAATTACTCATACGCAAATCCATTTACTTCTGCCAGTAAAGGTCTCGTAAAAAATGAAGCATGCCCAAATGTGCAGACATACTTTCTCTCACCACGGGCAAATCTTGCTACAATCTGGCTGTCTGGAAAACATAGCTGCGAAAAGACAACTGGTGTCCTCGAATGACATGAATGAGTGCCAATTCATGATTTAACAGTATCTCTGCTTTAAGGATGTTGTAAAGCCATAATTGGTAATTGTCCTTATACCGTAAAGCCATAAGTTATAGGAGCTGCATCTTGGCGGCATGGTGAGCTTACTAATGCTACAGAAGTCTGAGCTGGTGGGCCGTCTCACCACCAAAACACTGCAACGGTTACAGGCCCATTAACGTTATAAACTAGACATACTATTTCGGTGCTTGGATACATTTGTACTTTTATTTGATGCAACTAAATCCACTTTTCAAAAATTATCCAGGCCATGGAAATTGCATTTAACATTTCAATGGCTTTTCCAGGTTTTTCATGACCGTACAAAACCCAGCACCAACATACATAGATACACCCCCCCCTGCATCCATATTATTCCACCACTGAAAGTATTCCCCAATAAATGCACAATTTATTCCTTCTGTTTATATTTACATAAAACAGCATTTTTTTGGGACTTGTTTTAACAAATGAAAGCATACAGTCTTTAAAGATCCATGCAGTGTAAACCAGTGGGCTTGTAGAGACAGTGATGGGATTTGTTGACATAAAAAAAACCCACATCTTCTTATTCTGCAGAGAGCGCGTAAAGAGCTTCGGGTTTCTGTAGGTGAGTATTTAATCTGTGCATGTGTGTGTAAATATGTTTAAAAGGATTTCATGCGGAGGCAGGGCAAGCAGGAGAATGTGTTAACCAAGGACACACACACACAGCAAATATTATAGTAACACTTGGCAGGAGAAGGCACTGGAGAAATGCAGATGGAAATATTATTCATGCATTTATATAAACACAGAGAATTATGCAGTTGTTGCTCATGCACGCTTTGCCCTCTAACAGGCTCCACAGGCTTAACAGATAAACCTGTGGAGCAGCACAGCTACATTAGCATGTACCTGATCAACCAATCAGAGAGAGCCTTCCACAGCATTCAGATATACTGTATATGGGTGTCATGATGCAACCTGACATCCACTCTCTGACTGAAACAAACACAATATTGCCTTATGATGCTTCTCAGTTTTACGTTGAACCGACTTTAGAACAATTCAAATGAAGCAAAAATGTGTGAAAATGGGATTAAAAAATGTGTTTATTTCAGTATATACTGGTGTTTTAGTATTAATAAAGACACTAATGATTAAAACCACCGGATTGCACCAGATTCCGCTGAATGCACACACTCACACACACAGTGGGTAAAGGGAAGCTGCTCTCAGAGGACGTGTTAGTGTACAGTAGTTTGAGTGTTATGTGTTTTACCTGGGAGCAGAGGGTGAAGGGGGGGTGGAGGTGGAGGTGATGGGGTACACAAACACCTGGTTGGAGGACTGACTAGAGGTGCTTTCTCTAAAAAAAACAAAAATCACCAGAAAAGAACGTATTATTAAATATTCAGCACAGCCATGGTCAGACAGGAGACTAACTGTTGATCACAGATGTATCTGGAGCCAATGGACCCACATCAACACACCTGTGTCATGATCCAAATTCACATTAAGAAATATTATAGATATTTTCTTTATGAATGCTGAGGACAGTGCCGGTTTAGCTGTTTTCAAACATATTTTAATATACTGTATAATGTGTCATTTAATACCAACCTACAAATAGGTTTTTCAAATGGAAACTGTCTATAGTGGCTGTTTTTTATTTTTTATATTTCACTTTTTTACTGATATTTAGTTTTTATAAAATGTTTAACATTGATATCCACCAGGGAATTGTAGGTCCTTGTATGCTCTGATATTGATAATATAATAATAACTCACATAACTTCTATTACTCAATCAATACAAAAATATATATCATTTTTTTATAACAACTATATTATAGGGCGGTTAGTTAGTACACGTCTATGTTGGTTGGTCATCAGATAAATGACCTGTGGTGTATTCTGGGTAACGATGGACTGACAAACGTCCCGTCATGGACCCCACACACACTCTGGACTAAATCCTCTTCAACTTAACATTTTTAAAGTCGTGGTGTCTGTAGTATCATACTTATGAAGATGACACACACATTTTTAAAACAATATCAGCAGTTCACTATTGGTCAAGACAAGCCATGTCTCTGCTATTATTACAGCAATGGACTGTATGACAGCCCACAATGCACGTGCATGTGTGTGTGTGTGTGTGTGTGTGTGTGTGTGTGTGTGTGTGTGTGTGTGTGTTGAATGAGGTGTGTCAAGTAAAAAAGGAGAAATGTAAATCTTCAGAAGTCTTTTTAAAAAAACTGTCAAACATAGGTGGACATGTTTGACTAGAAAAGCACAAAGATGGAGAGTCTTTGTTTTTATACAAATGACTGACTGCTTGATGGACAGCTACCACAGCAGCAGCTCACACAATGGAAACATGAAGAGAAGCGAGGCGGTGCCGGGACTTCACTGGGGACAGGAAAAGGTGGGTCTACTGCATTTATATCACACACACACATTCCTCCTCACACACACGCTTTCTGAAAAGATTTAATAGTATTTTTTCAGACTCTTCAGAATTCTGAGATTATATTCAGAATCTTAATACTCCACATTTTCCCCCATGTGGCCCCTTAATCCTGTTCCGTAAAATATATACTAAAATGATCATGGAGTAACTTTATTTGTACCCAAATATGATGCTTACTGAGATTAGCATTTTGGATTAGTCCATATTGCGATTTCAATAACATTTAGATTAAATGTGCTGCTCTAATGAAAGTTATTCCAGTAACAGTTTTAATTCCTCCTGGTGGATGCACATGTGTGTAGTGTGCTTCATCACATAATGCTGCACTAGGCCATGAAAAAGTAGATTCATGATCCGCTGCTGCAGGGCACATTTCACTGATTCATCAGTGACATGAAATGCTTATTGCCCGGGGGTCCCAGTTACACTAAATGGCCCCCCGACAGGTCGTTAGCCTGCATGTTTCAAACAGCCATGATTGAGATACACTGAGATTTATTTTGTAGTGAATGAATATAACTCATCACAAGGACAGATACAGGAAATCATTCCTGCAAACTGCCTTAAGACTTTACAACAGCTCACCTCTGTCTGTTTTACTTTTAAGGTAAAGTTTTGAGTTTGAGATAAAAGGTATGTTAAGACTGTTTAGAACTGAGGTAATTAGTGGGAGATGTGTGACAGAGAGACTGGATTTTCTCTGGTCACACAGTGTGTCAGTGTGTTTTTTAACTGACACCACAGCTCTGTAAGTGAGGTCAGGGGTTAACCAGCGTCTCTGATGACCAACCTGCTGTTCACCAGGCCGGAGGCGGGGGTAACCAGGTCCGGCATAGCTGAGGGTGAGGGGGAGGTGCCAACCGTTGTCATGACTACCAGTTCAGGGTCCAGGATGAAGATCTCTTCTTGGGAGATTTCTGATACGTAGTTCAGATGTTCCTAATGGAGCACAGGACAGGGAGGTCACACAGGTGTTATCAGTAGCACATAATAACATATGGGACAGAAAGTCTTAAAGAAAATACTCATTAAAAAGCCTTCTTTAACCAAACACTGAAACATCGCCAGCTGACAGTTTTGTTGCTTTTTCAATTTTTTGAATTGCTACAATCAAAGCCATAAAGATACGTTGGATGATTAGGGCCCATCATTTGGGGGATGTGACCAAAAGTTTAAGAAAATAAAATTGAGGTCTTGATCACAGAATTCTGAGATTAAAGTCAGAATTCGGGACTGAAAACGGACTGATGCTAGGTGAGCTATCGCGACTGTAACACCTGCTTTTATTGAAAACCTATGGTCGAAAATCCCTACTAAATACAACTTGAATTTTGATTGGTGAGTTAGTGTGGCTTTTATATAACTTTTGGCTTCATTGTGAGCTGAGAGATATCTATAGAGATGAGTTGATCTATAACCCAGAGAGGAGAGGAAGCTGCCATCACTCTTTGAGAGGATTCAATGTCTCTCCACTCAGCTACACATGGATCCTGTGGCGGTGAGGAGGCTTTTCTCCGCACCTGCCTACCTTCTTTCACTGATCACATTTTTTGATGATCTTTGAGAGGCTTCAAAGTGGAGCACCTGCTCTCTGAACAATGTTCCCACAGCCACATAAAAAACAGGGAGCTGTGTGGATGTCGAACGGCAGTGGAATATATCTCATCCTGGCTGAAAAAGTGAAACTCTGACTTTTAAATAAGAAAGAGCAAAATATATTAAGCAGACACAGCATCACACGCTGCAGGAGAAGCTGTGTACCTGTGGTGAAGGAGCCACTTCTTAGAGAAACGGGCCAATTACGCCTTCACTACCCAAACAAGGTGACGAGTTAAGCAGCTGGAAAGAAACCAAATGATGGTGAGGCTCATGGACATCAGTGGACATCTGCTCCCTCTGCTTCAATGTGAATCCACCACAGCCAGAAACAAGTCTTTTTGCCCCTCATATTCACACTTTAAGTTGGATTCATTTAACACTTTTAAACACAATGCTGTAATCTGCAGTGATGACATATTTTTAGTAGGAATAGCAAAGGGCCCAAGCCACAAAGAGGCTGTGCATCATCACAGCTAAGCTAACGGTGGCTAATGTATTATATTATGTTGTAGAACAAAATGTTAAAGACAAAAAAAATGTGTGTCAAATGACAAATCTTATTTCAGGCTTTTAACCAAAAAGCCATTGACTTCCAGACGAGGAAACAGGAAGTGGCAAAATGCCAACACATTTCTTGGTTTTAGGACTCATTCCTGCACCACTCTATGTCCTTAAACTGTCCAAATGCAGAGGAGAGAACAGCTGATCCATGTCACCTTCACTTGTCACCTATCACTAGCTTTCTGAGCAGTAGCAGGAGATATGGCGCCTTCAGGAGGTAGATTGAAAACAATTGAATTTTTCCACAAAATTCACCAGCAGTTTTCAATAAGTAAAGAGGCAAATGTATTCATTTAGATTCAGAGAAATAACAACCAGTGAGACCTACCTGTGCTCTGTCTATCCTGTAGAAGCGATCTGCTGTTGTAGCTTAGAAGACAAACAGAAAGACAGCGTTAAACAATCAAATATTATGAGTGGTGATGGAAAACTTGCAAAATTCCTCTAGTTTATCGCACCTTTTTTGATAGTAATGAAATCTCTTGACATAATACATTTAATTAAAGACAGCGTTTCAGTTTTTCAGTGTAAGATACTAAGTTAACAAGCGAAAGACCTGCTCAGAAAATTAAGTTGAAGCTGGGTTGGACAGTTACATCCTGCAGGTTTATCGATGTCACTATAAGAGGTTATTATTGAGTGAGATTTCCCTCTGCATCGTGCTATACAATGATTAGCCGCTTCCCACACACACACACACACATTCCCTCTGTCCTCTTCACACTCTCTCTTTCAACAAGCAAGTCGTATTTTTGTTTGTTTTCGGCTGAATTCCACCAGGACCCTACACAAGCTGAGGTGTGTGTGTGTGTGTGTGTGTGTGTGTGTGTGTGTGTGTGTGTGTGTGTGTGTGTGTTTCACATTGTGTAATATGAATGTTTTTTCTCTGTGATATTTTTGGCAAGCCGCTGCTGCCGAATGAGATTAATATTCATGACATTCACCAATAAACAGAATCTGACAGAACCACGCTTTATGTTATTTTAAGAAAAGACCAACTCAGAAATGTGTTCATCTGTTGTGTTTGCACGCACTTCAATAACCTGTTTATATTCTTTACACTTCCCTAAAAAGAAGATGCCCGTGCCACACCCCTCTGATAAAGCCTTTTCAATGGTTTTAGCTCCAGAAATCAATTTTACCGATGTATGAACAACAAAAAACGATGTTTTCATTCTTAAAATGCAAACACAATTTTGTTCTAAGACTGAAAAAACGTTCCTCTAACCTGAAGAAGTGCCTCAGTTAGTCGGTGTAACATGATTTGAATTGTGCCTGTACTTTATGAACATGTGGGTAGTCCAGGTAGTGCAACAGATGATCGAGCAAATAGTAAATAATCACCAGATTCCTGCTTATTTCTCATAATGAGAATAGCAATTATTGAACAATTTACAGGGAATCGGTTAAAAGATAATAACTTAGAAGAATCTAATAAGATGACAATTAATGTACATATGATTATTACTGTTGTACCCATTCTGTGTTAGCTATACCTTATAAATGATCAATTTGTGTTTTTTTCCCTTCTTCTGATTTGTGGATTGTTATGTAGTTATTTTATGTATTTAAGAGATTCATTTTTAATGTATGCCTTGTAATCAAATAATTTCTTAAAATGCAAATAAAAAATCGAACACTTACAGTCAAGGAAACACCACTTTGGAGATAGTCTCTGCGAGGAAACACTCTTTGGCTTGGCGGCCTCCTCCTGAAGGAAAGACAGACACATCAGTTAGACTACAAAGCAGGAAACATCATCCATAGTGATCCATCTATTAAACAGAAAACCCAACAGAGTAGCTCCTAAGGTGGGAGAGAACAACAAATGAGATCCATTTTGAGATATGATTTGTGTTACTCGCCTTTTTTTTTTACTGGATTTCCTTATAACTTAAAGGTCCCCTATTATACTTTTTTTCAACAGTATATTATAGGTCTCAGATATATACAGAACATGTCTCTGAAGTGTTTGGCTCGAAATACCAAACAGATCATTGCAGCATCCCATAATCCCCTCTGTTTCAGCCCTGTTCCAAAAGTGCTAATTCTGTGTCTGTAGCTTTAAATGCTAATGAGCTGCTGCTGAAATAAGATGCAACAATTTTCAAGCAAGATACACATAACCCAGTTACAGTGTGACCTGTGATCAGACCAGAAGGGTTATGAATACTCAATTCTGATTGGTCAATTTGGACATTTCAGAGGCTGTTAATACTCGCGAACACACACCTGCTTAGCAAAATGATGACAGTTGATAAGGAGAATCAAGGGAGAGAAGGAAAGAGGTTTTAAGGGTGTTCTTTTTAGTTGTTTATCCACATCTCCATCATTACCAACTTATTTCCAAATATGTGCAAAACATTGATTTCTGTTTGGTTCGGGACTGAAGTTGGATAAACCAATGTTTGAGAAGCCAGTAGAGTTGTGTTTGTGACCTGAGGAAACTTCTCCGTACCTTCCCATCCACGCGCCTCATTACTGAAACTTTTTGTATGGAGGTATCACGCAGACGGCTAACATCCAGTCTCCAATTAGCTCAGAAAGCTGCAGCAGGATTTTTAACAAGATCAAAAAACAGACAGCACATAACTGAGCTCCCCCCCCCCCCACACTCGCTCCCTGTTAGCTGCGGGGCCAGTTTAAACCGTCTTCTTTGTTTACTCAGCTTCTATGTGTGGACTCCAGCTGCTCTAACACACTGTCTGCCCCTCCGACCACTCTGTCTGTCCGCTGATCAATCACTAAATGTTGCTGGGAGAGCTTTCTCACTCCACTGATGTTCCCAAATTAAAATACATTCTTACTTGAACTGTTCTCTGTGCCTGCCGTACCCTTAACCGAGCATTTGTCTGAGCCAAAAACTTGTATTGAGCGTGTTCCTGTGTTCTCTTTACCAGCTGGGACACACTGCTATTGTTTCACCTTGAGATACTGTGTGTGTGTCTGGAGATTGTTTTGCCAGGGGTTTGTATTTCTGATTGTGTCACCTTGATAGCGTCAAACTGTTTAAGATGCAGACTTATGTATGAAGTTAACTTGCAGATGGAAAGCGGTATTATTCCTTCAAACCATCATTTCTGAATATGTTTCACTCGTCCGCATTTAAAGCTGATCATAACATCGATAATCTATTGGTATGTATCACAAATCAAATTCAATCAATACATTTCACCTTGATTTAATTTGGCCAAAATGAATTTTACTTCCCCATATCCTAACGATCAATTTCAAATATATATGGTTTAAATCTGCAGCATTTAGTTTAAAGACTAAGAATTCAGTCGTCAAATTAGAAATAAATGGGAGACCCCGATTGCATCGAGTGGTAAATTCAATATATTACTCATCAATTGGCCCGATTAGTACATTTCTTCCAATAATCATCTCTAATTTGAAATAACAGGTTGGCTTGTGCCATGATTTTTCTTATTTTGACATTATTATAAGGCGGAAATATGCATGTTCGTGAGTCAAATGACGCGCCAAGCGCCCCTTTTTATGTGAGCGGCACAGAGCCTGAAGAGGAAAGCCAATCCTGGTGACATCAGTAATAACTGAGAGCACATTAGCAGAAAACGTGGGTCATATGTGGTCCTTTAGATATTTCTTATCAGTAGTGTAATACTCAAACAATGTTGTGAAACAAAGCTATTCCTCAAATATTCAAAGCCTTCTTTTTTGACACAAAAAAGGGTAAAAAAAACAATATAAAATGAAAACTACAGTATGACCTAATGATTTACCAACTAAAAGCCAAACAGCACTTTGAAAATGTGATCTTACTGTTTTTTCAGAACTTTATGGACTTAATCCGTCTGCAAAAGCCCTTACAACAGCTGAGACAAACTATGGAAACATGCTAACTAAGCTAATGTAACATTAGCGTTACTCTCAGTCAGCTTCTCACATGTCTTCTAACATATGAATTAGCTGCAGGATTAATGTCGATCACCTTAACCTACCTCTAAGTTCACTGAAAATAAAAATCACTTTGCATTTAAGCTTTTCCCCTCAAGCTAAACCCAGACAATGATCAGTACTGAGTGGAGAGAGCGGGGGGGGGGGGGGGTAACGGAGTGTTTTCCTACAATGACTGGGATACAATGTTAAACTTTTAGAAACTAATCACATGTACAGCTAATCATGCTGTGTTGGCAGCTTCCAGGCAATACCAAACATTCTCAGTTGAGCACTGAAATGTAAAGTCACCTTCTACTCGATGTGACGGGAGGAAAACACGCCAAAGAAAGTAAAGTTGTTTTCCTAAACTGCAAAGCTTTGCTGCAGACTTTGACAGAAGCTGGCTGGAGTAAACACTCCTCCTCTCCTCTGAGTGTGTGTGTGTGTGTGTGTGTGCGTCTACTTATCTAATCCTTCAGCAGCACTCTCTCACAGTCAAACGCCCGCAGGCTTCTACAGCAAAACCTACAAAACGGCATCAAAAGCTGAACGCGTCTGACTGAATGAGTCCTCTCCTCACCTTCTTTCTTCTCCAGTCTCCTCCCGCTCACTCCTGTTTGTCTTTTCACACATCAAGCTGCAAAGTTCTGTCTCTGTTTGGGTCAGATTTGGTTTTTGATTCATTCAGCTTCTGGAGTGTGTGTGTGATGTAACAAACAGGAGCCTGGAAGAGCAGTTCAGGAAGCACCTCTGTTCTTCTCAAATCTGACTGAGTTACTACTTTCATCAATCATAAATATTGTGTTTTACATTTGATTGCTTCAAGGCCTTATGATATCCTCCACAGTAGGCATTTCCACAGTGGTATAGTCGACTTTGCAACACCTCGGAAGTCAAAAATGACCTCCATATGAAATGAATGGCTAACCCTAGATTATGTTCATCCATCAGATACACCCAAATCATCAACACTCGATAATAAGTAGTCTGAGACATTGTAACAGCTAAAAGGGTGTTCAATAAAATACAATTTGGTGATAATTAATGTTTTTGTGTTAATATTAGAGTAGGTCAAACAGACCGGTCAAATATGTCCAGGAACACCGAAGTTAGGGGGGGAGAAACAAACACAAAGTCTAGTTTGGACATTTGTTTGGTCAACATTAACAACAGACACACAGTGAATACATTAACTAAATATATTCTGAAATAAGACGGCATCAGCGGAGATCAAATGTTGCAACGGGTGTTACATCATCGGGGTTGCTAGGCAACACAAAGTCTGACAACAACTCATGAGCTGTCTCCTCAGCGTTAGTGATCTAACCTATATAAAAACAAGATAGTGTTGTTAAAAATATCACTTATAGAGTCAGTGTTGCTCTGCTTGCTCCCAGAGAGGAAGATGAAAGCTTGTTGTGGGATGAAGGATGCGGGTACGTGACATCAACATCAGATTCCTCTCAGCCACCTAAATAAGTTCAACAGCTACTTCACATCCTGTGTATGAAGCATGGGGGGGGGGCACAAACACTGTTTCAGGTTCAGGAGTTAGGACAGCCTCAGTGGACAAAGCCCTGCTAGATGAACCTGGTTCTGATAGAAAACTGAATGGACTATTCCCTAACTACCTGCATCCATTCACAAACACACACCTGCCGATCTACAACAGCTGAGGGTTCAGTGTCGTGCTCAAGGACTAGAGTGCCCAAGAGTCCCACATACAGTATGTAGCCAATGTATCGCATTTGATTGACAGTCGCTCTTCTAAAACGTGGCTTTAATCCAATGGATGTTTAGAACGAGAGGGCTGTCACCATTAGCTGTGTCAGATGTCAATCAATTAACAAATAAATTGATTTACTGATGGGTATTTGTTGTTTTATTTTTTAAATCACGCACCGAGGTGAATATGATTTAAAGCGACACTACATGCGTACAAATGTAATACCAATTGAATTACATCTTGTAAGACTGCCGGTGGTTAAAATGGCAGAGATGTCTCATCCTCTCTACGGTGACCATGAGACATCAGGACAAATATCTGAGGTACACCTCTACCTAGAGACCCCCGTACCTTCCAGATGAGACTGTCAAACAAATCCTGGTGATATGATAGAGTGTCCCCTGCATGTTATTGTATTTCATTTGAATTATAGTGATGTAGCACTCTGCTGTTTGATGTCAGTCTTAAACGGTGACTGTATTAGTCTCCCCAGATGTCTGCCTGTTGTCAATGTGGTGGGAAGCCTTCTATCCCAGCTTTAATGAATGGAGAAAAATGGATGAGCAGATGTATGTTGTTGTTGCCACAATAATAACATTATAAAGCCATTCCTCGCAGCAGAGCTTACGGTTGAAGTTTCTTGATCTAACTCAAAAGAGTTTTTTGTAAATGTTGTCGAATTGAAACTAAGGTCATGAGACCAAATGTCATCTATGAGTTGTTTCAAACCCCATATGACAGTTTTGATTGAAGTACAGGATAAGTGATGATGGTGGAGAGAGGACACAGCTATTATTTGTTTTACTGTGCTTTGTGTTTTATTAAAGGATGTAAACACATCCTCAGTGTTATTGTGATATCAAAAAGGATCTGCTATAACAACGAGAAAGCAGTAAGTAAGGTAACTTTGCTTGGTTAATGCGATTGAATTATACTCCTATAAACCAGATAAATGGAACAGACTGCAGGGGTCTGTGCTGTAGGATGCCCAGCAAAATATAACATCTCAATTAAAATAGCTATTGGCATTCTAGACATTATTTTACTTGTAACAAAAGCGTAGTAGTACAAGGGTTTAAAGCGACTGTATTGTGTAGTTAAAATCCCATTTGAAAAGCAAAAGGCTCTTTGAGTTTCATTTATAACACTTTTAATGAGGTTTTCTGTCTGATCCTTTCTTCTTTTGTGGAAAGTGTTTGTAGAACAAAGGAGGTACCATGAATACACACCAAATATACTCCAAACATTGGAGCTGTTTGTCACCTCACTGTTTGTGTTTCTTCTGAGGAGGTCAGAGAAAGTACCTTATACCCGCATCTACTGTAAGTAAACATGTCAATAACAAGTCAAACTCTTCATCACTCACAAAAAGTATATATAGATGCGAGAGGCACACAAGAACAGGTAGCAAAGGTCACAAACACACACACATCTGAAAACAAAAACAATAGTCCATGCATCATGCTGTAACATGCTGAGACACACAGCGGAAACTAATCTCTGTGGAAACAAATCTGTGTGTGTGTGTGTGTGTGTGTGTGTGTGTGTGTGTGTGTGTGTGTGTGTGTGTGTGTCAGGGGTCAAGGTGTGTCCCTAACAGGTGTGAAGGGGGAGTGTAAACTAATGCATCATCTGACTGATCCTGTATTCTGTACCCCCCCCCCCCTGCAGGGTCATCATTAATGCCTATAGGGGTATACAAACACTACTCTTGCTTCTTTCTTAAGGGCTTTCAGTTCTGGTTAAAGATATTCCCGACCTCCTTTAGCAGAACTACAGGGGAGCTTTTGGTTACCCAGGAAAGGGGGGGCACTCTTCAGAGATAATAGTCTGATAATGTCTTCAAGGTAAAGACTAAGAGGAAGTCACTGGATACAGGACTCTGTTGACCAGACTAAATCATGGCTATATAACCAGAGTCTGATGAATGGGAGGGGATGCCATCAGGAATGGAATGGTCCCCTGGGTGTATCTGCAGGTAAGGCAGCTTTGGAATCAGGCTGACAAGGTCCCTCTGGAACTAACTTGGGAAGAAGGTCCCTGAGAGCAGGAGAGCCGAGCTTTAAAGCTTCATATCAAAGTCATGACCACCACAGTCAGACATCAAGAGGGCCTGAGGACGGCAGTTTGATCCTGATAGACCTAACACAGTATGTGTAAAAGTACACGTTGAGAACACACATGTGTCACTAGAAACGGACCATTTGACTTCCCTACCAGTCACTGTTGACATGCAGTCTGCTTAATTCATCTGTAATGGTCTTTATGCCTATCAAACACATGGCTCCATTAGGGAGGTGTTCCATAATGATGTCAGAACATGAAAGAACCATAATGGATAGAGCTGCATGTGATGGAGCATCTGACACACAAGACAAAGGGCAAAACCACTCTTTCTTCCACAGTAGCAGTGGAAACTAATGATATCATGAAAGTGTTCTCTCACATAATACATAATGTAATCAGTGACTTGTCAAAAGAACTTTGAAGTCACATTAAATCATTTACTCTGCTGTATCTTCACTGAGTGCATTTCTGGGATTTATGAGACTTTGTCAACTTTGGGAAAGTTTATATTTTCATCTCTCTCTCGATTTGTTCTAATGAGGACTTGGAGGTTATGCTTTTTACTTTCCATGTTGATTTTTCCTGAGCTTGTTTATTTTTTACATCTGTATGTGTGTTTGCGTATGGTGTTGTGTAATGTATGATATGCCGTACTTTGTATCCCCTAGAGTACAGAATGTGCTCTGTTTATGTGTGTGGGAGTTTGTTTGTTCAGAATTGTATTGTTGGCGTGTGTGTGTGCGATTTTATGTGTTTGTGCAATTTTATGTGCGTGCGTGCGTGCGTGCGTGCGTGTGTGTGTGTGTGTGTGTGTGTGTGTGTGTGTGTGTGTGTGTGTGTGTGTGTGTGTGTGTGTGTGTGTGTGTGTGTGTGTGTGTGTGTGTGTGTGTGTGTGTGTGTGTGTGTGTGTGTGTGTGTGTGTGTGTGTGTGTGTGTGTGTGTGTGTGTGTGTGTGTGTGTGTGTGTGTGTGTGTGTGTGTGTGTGTGTGTGTGTGTGTGTGTGTGTGTGTGTGTGTGTGTGTGTGTGTGTGTGTGTGTGTGTGTGTGTGTGTGTGTGTGTGTGTGTGTGTGTGTGTGTGTGTGTGTGTGTGTGTGTGTGTGTGTGTGTGTGTGTGTGTGTGTGTGTGTGTGTGTCCTGGAGGCATTCAAGCAGGTTTTTGTTTCAAAATCCACCTCTGGATTCAGACCGCAGGATTTACCCAGCATTCAGTCTGTTACCTCCAGAGGTGGAAGAAGTACTCAAATGATTTACTTAACTAAAACAATACTACAGTGTAAAAATACTCAGCTAGTAAAAGTCCTAAATTCAGAATTGTAATTTGTTCTTTATTATGCAAAATGGCCATTTTAAGCACCAGATATTTATTGTTCATAATTTCAATGTTGCACTTGGTATATTTGAATTACTTTACACACTACTGGGTAGCTCAACCTAGAATAATGTGTTATAATGTGTGTCGATTTAAATATAAAGTAACTGCAAATAAATCTGCATAGTAACTAAAGATGTCAAATAAATGTAGTGGAGTGAAAAGTACAATAGTTGCTAACAAAATGTAGTGGAGTACCTACATTCTTTCCTTAAGGAACGACCATGGGTAAGGTAGTTGTAGTGTAAATAATAAATGTGGTACAAAGAGACAAAGTTATTGTCGTGCTCGGGCCCTAAATGTAACCTCTTCTTGTGTGTTTCAGTAAGTGCTAATGTAACATAAAGAATTGAATGATTTTTTTCATTTCATTTGAAAGTGTTTGTAGCTGTTAGTTTCCCGTGTGCCAAACAAAAACCACGCCAAGTACTCCAGTCACAAACTACCAACCTGCGGCCCCCAGTATGTGAGGGAGGGGTGAACAGAGCAGAAGTCCTGGAGGGGGGGTGGGGGGGGGGGGGGGTGGGGGGGAGGAAGAGGAGAGGGGAGAGGAGAGAGGAGTCTGCAGGTTTGACAACTCACACTGTGAAGCAGCACGATGAAATGTACTTTCTCATCCAATCAGAGTGAGCCAAACGTTCCCATAGTACCGGCCATATGTATGGGTTTCATAATACAACAGACACTTTCTGACTGAAACTGCGTCTGAAAGCTTCTGTACCTTTCTTATGTTAAATACATAACTTAAACCAAATATATAAATGAGACATTCCTTGGCACTCAATTAAGCATACACTTTAATTAGCTTTAAAAAACCTTCCATTCAGTGACACAGAACTATGCCCTTTTCATGCCCCCCCCCCATCCCCTTTTTCTTACCTCTTGTAAACGCTGGATGTGTTCTCTGCAGGTCTCTAAGTCGCTGTCACCAGACACCACGATGAGTCCCAGAGGAATGGCTGCAGATACAGAGGAACAAGACAATTATCCTACAGCACTTTGATATCTAATTATACAGTGGGGCTGAGCTGCAACCCCCCAGGACCCTGGAAGTCCTGCCACTTTTAATTCTGCTCATTTTGGCCCGAGGGATGTGGACCTGGAGCTACACATGAATCTAATATACAGTATATATAGGGTTGTATGGACTGTGCACCAACATTGAAAACCACCAACAACTTATCAGCTGATGTTAAAACTGGCTACAATCAGTGTTTTAGCTACAACTACAATTACTAGTTAAGCCCTATGTAACTTTTAAGTGTTTTCAATATGTTATCACTTCAATATTTTATCCTATCTATGTGAAATTGTTATAGTTAGAACATTGAAATGTGCTCGGATTGAACACCCCATCAATAGACAACTGCTCTTACTCATGAAAGGAAGTAAATTCAGTTTAACTTTGGAGATAATGCCTTTTATTTTCTTAAATGACCACGCCGTCTGCTCCTGGATATGTTATATTGACACATTCCCTTGAAAGGGAAGCTTCTGCTCCCTGAGGAGGCACCTACACCACCCTGCTGGATGAATATCACACAGCTCTTTGTGCTGGAGCTCCTGAACCCACACACACACACCTCTCATTGATACTAAACATCTGAGTGTAGAACACTGCACAGTGAGCGAGCAACAGTCAGCACAGGCATATTTTGAGAGAGTCTACAAGTGGTTCATTGAAGTGCATCTAGAAACAATCACCACCCAAAATAGTGCTGCAGATAACTGAATATACCAGGGAAATCTTTCAAAAGGGAACACAAGAACTCAAATCGGCACATCGCAACTTCTTTGAGGTTTTGAAGGTGGCAATTTTGAAGGTAGCCACCAATGATGGCTCGTAAATATCATTTGTTGTTATAAAATCTCTTTCCCCTGCCCTATGAATGATCTTTTGACCACGTGGAAACCAAATTCAGTTGACAGGATTTACTCAGAAGCTTTTTTTACTATATCTAAGCCATCAAATCCAACTAATCTGCCAATGGAAAACTGGATAACCAACATGCGTTGAGGTGTCAGAGGTGTGGAAGTGTAGCGGCAGAGGTAGTACTGGGGACATCATGGTGTTCAGTGTCGGCTAGCTAATGTTGCTAACATAGTAGACTAGTATTAGTGTGGTTTAGTGTCCCAAATGCTTTCTAATAAACCCCACATTTGAACCTTTTTGTGTTTGAAATGACACAAAAATAAATCTAAAGAAATGTCTAAATAGTACAGTTGACTTCCCCGTAGTCCAAAACATATAATTCAATAGCAAAATCACACAAATTGATCAAGTGGTTAAAATACTGTTTTTATCGGCTGCCAATAACGGCCTTCTTGGAAAATGGTCGCAATTAGGAAAATTCAAGTGGCTTACGGCTTTTTTGATTAAATGGCCCCCATATGGAAATTGTGGTGCTTGTATCCAATTATGAAAGATGGTTACATCTATCTGCAGCACTTAAACACTGCCTTTAAATGCTAATTCTGCATTCATTTCATAGACTGGCCTTTTCAATAAGCAGTTGATTGGTTGGAGTGTAAGGTGGCACATGCACTGTGTTTGTAGAGCTCACATACAAGCAAGTTGTTTTAAGTAGACAACACACTGCGGAACATTTAAAACCAGCGGCTCTGCTTCCGTTAATCAGCTGCTGTGATCCTGTTGGATATCTGGTGTTATCTGTAGAGGATCGGCTCACATCATACCTGTGGCGTTATCATAAAAGCGTCTCTCCTCTCGGTCCGTGTCAGAACACGGAGAGAGGATGACACCGAGATGACATAACACTGCGCCTCAGGGTATGAGGCATATTTTTACCATCTCCCCAACAGTGACACATCCACAAGTGGAGAGCTGTGATTGATTTGCATAATGAGAAACAACTCAAACTTCAGATCGAGAGAACAAAGGCTGAGGTATTACAAATATGGAAATGATGAAAAACATCTCAAAACCAGAAGAAATATTTGATTCAACTGAAGAAATCATTAAGAATTATTCATTTGAATCAGTATGAAATACCTATTTCCAACAATTTTGGAGATGTTTGGATTGGGCTAGAGCGCCAGATACTATAATGGAAATATAAATTACAAAAAAAAACACAGGAGAAAATGTAAAGCAACATAAAAAGGTGTACAGTATAATTAAGCGTTTCGATATTGTAAAAGGTAACAGCGCCCCCCTGTGGTAAATCTGTGAAATAACATGAACTAACTGAGGACGTGTGTGAGCGTGTACGTGTGTGTGTTTGTGAATGTGTGTGTGTGTGAGTGTGTGCGTGTGTCTGCATTCGTGCGTGTGTGTGTGTGTGACCAGCTGAGTGTAATTGGTCCTAATGACAGAGCGATGTGGAGAGAGGAGAAGCTGTCCTGTTCTCTATTCCTGAAAAATCTGCGCTGCTTACTGTGTGTATGTGTGTGTGTGTGTGTGTGCATTACATAAAAACATGAACACAGGCACACAGCAGTGAGAAGAGGAGGATGGAGAGACGTCTGTAAGTGTCAGTGTTGACCCCCAACCCCCCGACCCCACCCCCACCCCCCTCACTGCTCCACCTGCTAATCCTCCAGCTGTTGTCCAGCTTCCACATGCTGCTGTCAGTCAGCATCCTCACCTGCTGCTCTCCACCCTCTTCACCTCCTCCACAGAAGACTTGAGCACATACGGACAATCAGCTGATCTGATGTAATCAAGTCATCCTCAGAAAGGAGCAATTGACATTTTAAATGGCAGCCATTGGGTGGTGTGCTAATAAAGAGTCTCCATCCACTGATGACCTCACTGTTCAACACCACCTGCTGCAGAGCCAGGCCTCAATAACACTCATATAACAATCTTTCAATGTTTAAATATCATTTACATGGCAAAACATCACAACAAATATGGTCAGGCATTAAATCCTTTTGTTTTTTGGTTTGTTTGTTTCTTGTGCTTTTTGTTTCAGCCTGAATACATTTTCGTGGTCTGAAATGTACACCATCTAAAGGTCATCCCTCCCACACAATCTAACTGAAGGAGATTTTAGAACACAGTGTATTCGCTGCTGTGTGTGTCATGATTGTTATTTTAGCTTGTATTATTTGATTTGATAAAGATGTATTTTCCAAAAGGGCTTTTGGTTATTGACAATAAGAAAAGCAGTACAGTACATGTGTCATGTGTTATGAGGTAAAAACGTATACAATCTATCTTCATTTTTAATCTATCTATCTTTATTTTAGGATTGTATGTACCTTTTAGAAAAATGTTGAAAAAAGACAGAATTTTTTGAATAAAGTCAGAACTTGATTCTTTTACTTTTGATCAGACTTCCACTTCCGTATGTACCGTTATTACAGATGAAGTCATGGTGGTGTCACATTGATTACTGAAAGCGTTGCACTGCTGCGGACATGTTGGTGTGTTTTTTCCCTTACATGCTTGCCGTAGTTTGTCCTTGTCGTAGTGCAGAGCCTCGTAGTCAGTCATGCTGATCCTGCTCACTCGGATCCTCAGCCTCTCAGGCACCGGCTGCTGACTGACACACACACACACACACAGAACAAGAACACATTAGCACATCCATATTACAGGTTCAATTCACACTTCAATATCCTATTCAATGCAGCCACACGGTTGGAAAAAACATGTGTGTGTGTGTGTGTGTGTGTGTGTGTATGTATGTATGTATGTATGTATGTATGTATGTATGTATGTATGTGTGTGTGTGTGTGTGTGCGTGTGTGTATGTGTGTGTGTGTGTGTGTGTGTGTGTGTGTCTCTCTCACTCATTGAGGTGTGGCAGTGAGGTCCTGCGTTTGGTCTTCTGGATCATGTTGGCCTGGTTTCTCAGGCTGATGGTGATGACAGAGGGAGCCAGTCTGCACGGCTCACCGTCCACCTGTAACACAAGAACACAGTGTGTGTACAGGATGTGTGTGTACAGGATATGTGTGTACAGGATGTGTGTGTACAGTACGTGGGTGAACAGTATGTGTGTACAGGATGTGGGTACAGTGTGTACCTGTACTGGCAGTGGTTTGGTAGTTGTCAGGGTGACTTCTCTGCACTGGTTCAACCTCTCACCATGACCTCCGACCTGGAGAGTAGCCTGTACACACACAAACACAAACACACACACACACACACACACTTAGTCATTACTCCAGCCATGTATGTATCACACGCTGTGTTTTCCCTTTGCACATTGAAAATGGTGGCCTTTAACTTGTGACTTTTGTTACACAATCTGCAGACACTCTTTTTAACATCTAGATGAAAAATATATTCTAACACCTACATAATAAAATATATTTTTTACCTCTTTACCAAGTTGTAACTAATAGAAAAGGTGACATATGAGTGTATTGTTGGAACGATACGATTCAGAGCAGAGCATATAATCACAAATAGTCATTTTACTAACCATCTCAACTGACACCCATGTTAGGATAACATTTATTTTAGTAAGACACACCGGTTACCATGGCGACACGGATACGATGCGCTACATACCAGTGAGGTCATAGTAAACCCGATGACCTCGATGTATCCGTCATCATGGCGCTGAGGCTCGAAGTCGTGATGGTCTCCGGGGTTACCCCATGGTGTGGTGCCTGCACAGTATCTGCACAACACAACACACACACATCCCATCATATCACAGTGGTTATTAACTATTCAAAAAAGTAGTTGGGAATAGAGCCAGGGTCAGGTTAGTAGCAAACAGCGTGTGCATCAGAGTTAAAGAGATAAGAGTCAGGGATGCTGTGAACCTGCAACAATATGATTGGATAATGATGTTTCTGTCTGTGAAAGAGCCAATCACCATGAAACAGTCTGCCAACTGTGATGCCAAGCCTGATTCTGGTAATCTGCCTGAACTAATATTATCTGCAGTGTAATTGCCTGACATACACACACACAGATGTTATCAGGAGCAGCAGTAACACTCTGTCAGGATGTAATCTATCGGTAGGAGCCAAATGCAGGTTTAGCCATTGTTGATTATTTGTTTACACCCCACACTGTTGTGTTTCGTGACTTCCTGCAATTGTCACATGGGTGTGGCGTACGGTATTAAGTTCACCTGTTGTGTGCCTGGTTTGTGTGATAGACAAAGAGGGTGATTTGGTTCCGATTCCCTTTGATACCGTATGGTCCTGCTGTAAATGTTTATTTATTTGCATTACTAAATTGGATGGAACAAGATCTTCAGTTCAGACTGCTCATGGGTCACAAGAACCAACCAAACCTAACCTCTCCCGACTTAATTCAATTCACGGCAAAACAAACAGCCACAAGACTGTCTCTGTGAGATTAAAGCCAGATTTATTTTCTTTACTTTTGGACACATCCCAAACGTTTTTTCTCATCTGGCCCTTATCCTCTTCCGTATATACAGAACCCTACAAGATGTACAGTAAGTAGACACATATACATAACATACGTGTATCTGCTCCCTCTAGGCCTCATCACATCAGTTTCTATTAATACAGAGATCTATTTAAGCTGTGACCCGGCAAACAACTTCCACAACACTTCCAACCTCCTGACCTGCCTTCAGGACATCCAGAAGTGGACTGCACAAAATGTTCAGTAGCTCAATGCTGAGAAAACAGGATTATAGGGAAACATGACATTAAACACTCTTGTTCTCTGTCCCAGTCCTTATCCAAGCATTGCAGAAATGAAAGAGCACGTCAGATTCCTTGTATGTGTGCACATGCTGGGCCAGCTGCTTCTGATTCTGACAGTATGTGTGTCTTATTATGAGCTACAGAAATATTAATGTAGCAGCTTCTCATCTTTACACTGTCGTATTCACTGATTAATGTGACAAACAACAGCTGTCTGTCTCCAATTAATGTTAGCTCAGTAACATGGAGACAGGCCATAACAGACGTGTGTGTTGCCTGGTTACAGTGCTTTCTGCAGCTGAAGCCAGCCAAAGATCTTCTCTGAGGGAAGAAAACTGTACCAGCTGCAATAACTGCAACAGAGTGATACCTCTTGTCTATAGAAGATCAGTCATGTCACTTTTAGAAGTTGATCAATCATTTGTAACATACAAAATATAGGTTATACACTTGATATTTGAACCAGTCAAGCATCACTAGCTCCTGAAGAGAGAGTTGTGTCACATCTAGTAGCGACCGCTGTTTTTTCAACGTGTCAAATGTCACATTTTGTGGATCAAAATGTGCGTAAATATAGGCATCAGATGGGTCTCAGATACCCAAGGACAGGATCATATCTTAAACACTCTGAGAGGGTGGCTTTTATTTTTGTTATGATATGCAAATATGAGGGTGAGTGCTGTGTAAAGAATAACTTATTTTCTTCTCTTTACTGTGTATATCCATCTTTATAAATGACTCTCTTATCTCTAGCGATACAATAGTATATCCACAGTATCAGGGACAGTATTAGTGGTAGTGGTCTCACCTGGGGATGTTGAGGAACACCAGACACTGCAGCTTCAAGTCCTGAACCTTTGAGGTCAAATCTGTCCCGTCACACTGGAGAAAGAGGGGTGGGGGGTTACAGTGACAGTTACACACAACAGCCACAACAATACATGTTCTTCTTTTACTGATGCAGCAACCCAACGCTCCCCCCCCTCTGCCTCCATAAGACTTGTTTTTATACAAATGACTGACAGTTTGATTGACAGCTACTCACCACCACTCTGATGTGCTTTGACAGGTCTTTGGAGCTTCCCATCAGAAAATCTGAGAACGCTGTCTGCATGAGACACACACACGATCAATCACTAACCACATGTTCAACACATAAAGGAGCCGGGGGCCGACCATCACACATCAGTGGGGACAAGATGGTGTGACCTGAGGTGATGACGGGCCCCGGGACATTTCAGGGACACAGCTGGTGTGAGCGACATCTTTTGTCATCTCTGCATAACTGGACTTTTACTCTGTAGTCACTTATAGAGCCTAACGCCATTACTGTAGTATTTGAGATCCCTCCTTTGCCTAGGCTCAAAGCAGACATGATAGCCTTTGCAACATCATTGGAAATCATCAACACCACCTTCCCATGCTCTGTGGATAAAATACATGTTTTAATTTACAGCTTGAAAGGCTCTTCCAGGAAGTTCAAAATGTCTGGGCACCATTTGTTGCCTATACAAAGAGAGTGACCTTCCCAGATATTCCATAATAAGACCAAATGTTCTTACTTTGTACATTCATTTACTTTACTCTTTTCATTTTGTCCTCCTTCTCGTTTTACAAAAACTTCACCACTGTGTTCTGTCAATAGGTTAGGACTTTTAAAACTTGTTGAATGACCCGTGAGCAGGAAATCCCTGGCCTATTACTAAATGGAAACATCCCGGGGCATAGAACTGTAGAGCAATCATTTATTAAACAGGCTGGCAGAGCACTGCGGTGTAAAGAAGAGAGATCACACTCTAAACAGTGGATCAATCAGATTCTCTGCTGCATACACATTAATTTACTTCTTTTATTGCTGTACAGTCAGCCATGTTGTTAGCCAAACCTTGTCAGGAGAGGAAACTACTTTTCCAAAAGAGAAAAAGCAGAAACTGAAGAGAGAAGACTGAGGAGAACAACTCTCAAGTAGTGAAAGAAGGACATTGAGACGTAGACTTGATGCACTGTTAGATTTCTCTGAGCAGTCAGCTTATCTCCTGACAGTGATCCAGGCATGAGAAAATAAGAGCTGAACAATAAAGCAAGCGGGAAATATTTGAAATGTGTCAGAGGGATGAGCGGTCTGGTGTAATGGATTTATACTGTGTGAATGTCTGGCTGTATCTGTTTCATCTGCAGTCTTTACCCTTTCATTTGTTCTCATTTTAAATACTGCTACTTTTTACCATGGTGTACTTATTTGTTTCTACTTATTAGTTTTATTCTTATTTACGTGTGCTTGTAAACTTAAAGGATTTCTGATTTTTGATTTGAAAGGAACTACAGCACGGTCACATGACTTCACATCACCACCGCTAAGCTAAAGGTGGCTAATGTTGGGCTATAAAGGAACTACAGCACGGTCACATGACTTCACGTCACCACCGCTAAGCTAAAGGTGGCTAATGTTGGGCTATAAAGGAACTACAGCACGGTCACATGACTTCACGTCACCACCGCTAAGCTAAAGGTGGCTAATGTTGAGCTATAAAGGAACTACAGCACGGTCACATGACTTCACGTCACCACCGCTAAGCTAAAGGCGGCTAATGATGGGCTATAAAGGAACTACAGCACGGTCACATGACTTCACGTCACCACCGCTAAGCTAAAGGAGGCTAATGATGGGCTATAAAGGAACTACAGCACGGTCACATGACTTCACGTCACCACCGCTAAGCTAAAGGAGGCTAATGATGGGCTATAAAGGAACTACAGCACGGTCACATGACTTCACGTCACCACCGCTAAGCTAAAGGAGGCTAATGATGGGCTATAAAGGAACTACAGCACGGTCACATGACTTCACGTCACCACCGCTAAGCTAAAGGAGGCTAATGTTGGGCTATAAAGGAACTACAGCACGGTCACATGACTTCACGTCACCACCGCTAAGCTAAAGCATACCTGCCAACCCTACCGATTTGGGCGGTAGTCTACCGCTTTTGACATGTTTCTACCGCCTACCGACTTAGCTGACTCTCCCTACCGATTTTCAATCTTCCCAAACTATAACAAATAAAAATGACACTACATAGACACTGGACTCGACTTTTGGCGGACACCGTTTGCAGCGTGTCTGTGATCCCATCATACAAACAGTCCTCTGTGTTTCAGTCGATCGCGAGATGTGTCTAAAAATAGAACAACAATATTCTGTTTTATCGTTAATGTCCTATAACATAATCTTCCTGTGCCAGAATAATGCACTTGAACGCATCAAAGCTTTGTGATTGGTGTGACCCCATGTATCGGGGCGTGGCTGGTAGGCAGTGGGCACTAGTTTGCTGTGCAGTCCGCACACACAAGACCACAATTATGGCAGAAGCAAAAGAGCCCAAAATATATAATTTTCACTCCGAGTGGGGAGGATGATTATTTTGTATCTATTCCAATTCAAAGTCCATCTGTCTCATCTGCAATGCGAGCGTGGCTTTATCGAAGAAGGGTAATTTAGGAGCGGCATTTCAAAACAGTGCACAAACGCTACGAGACGGAATTCCCTCCTAATTCTGCCCTACGCTCCCAAAAGGTGAGGGACCTGAAAGGACAGCTAAATGCACAGCAGTCCATTTTCACCAGGCCCAACAACAAGAGCAAGGCTGCTACCATAGCATCTTATCGTGTCAGTCACGTTCTTGCAAAACACATGAAGTCTTTCAAAGACGGCGAAGTTGTGAAAGAAGCATTCCTGGAGGCTGCCGACGCGCTTTTTGGGGACAGTAAAAATAACAGTAGCATTTCAACAGGTTTTTGATATAATAAAAACTCAAGTTAGATACCGTTATTAATCAGCTGTAAGTTTTAGTTTGTTTGAACTTATTCATTATAATTATTGTACAAAATGGTATAAGAATGCAAACTTTAAGATCTGTTCTGTTTAAATTGATTATAGTCTATTATCAATTAAGAAACTAGTGTTGCTTGCATCCTATTTTAAAGGCATTTCTTTTTATACTCTACTAAAATGCAAAAAAAAGAAAAGGGTTTGATTCTATTAATTTTGTCTTTTTTATTGCACTTTGGCAGCAAATTCCTGTGTAGCTTCAGATCTGAGTTGTCTTATTAGTAAAACTAATTTATACTTTTGTAGCAACACTATTTTTATATAATGGCAAAGAAAGGGTTCAGTCTTTTCTTTTTTTCCTGTATCATATGTGGCAGCACTGTTCAATGTTTCTTGAAAACATTACCCACTGTAGTTTGTGACGTGTGAATAAACTCCCAACTCTGTATCAACAACACTGTTGTGTAACTTCAGTTAAATACTTGTATGTGTGTAGATTAGAAAGAGGTAAGATAAAGGATCTGCAGTATTTTATGAAGTATTAATCGTACAAAGGTCAGTTTTATACAAGTAGAAGTGTGTATTTACCTGGTAGTAGGCTGTCAGTAATGGCTACACCTCTCTATTTGGACTGGTAGATCTCGGCAGACTGGCAACTTTAAAAGTAGCTCTCGGTTCAAAAAAGGTTGGGCACCCCTGATCTACACTGTCAAGGTTCAAGGTTCAAGGTTCTTTATTGTCAAACTAACATAGCTACAGAGTAATTATGTCGTTGAAAATCTTATGTCACAGGCTTCTCCAACAATGCAACTGAAAGAGGACCAGAAACACATTAAAAATATAATAAAATGTGGAGACTTTGGGATATTTATCTCCCATTCTTTTACTTTTCGGGCATTTTACAGACCAAACATGTCGTTGATGTCACTGTTTAGTGTTTACCAAACTACCACTTTTTCTGAAAAATGCATAAAATTATGCAATATATGTTAAATACATGGTTTATACATGTAATTACTGGGGTTCTGATTACCTAATTTGGGCGTGCACATTTGCCGCGCGCAAACCTACCTCTTTTGGATTTGGAAAGGTTGGCATGTATGCTAAAGGAGGCTAATGATGGGCTATAAAGGAACTACAGCACGGTCACATGACTTCACGTCACCACCGCTAAGCTAAAGGAGGCTAATGTTGGGCTATAAAGGAACTACAGCACGGTCACATGACTTCACGTCACCACCGCTAAGCTAAAGGAGGCTAATGATGGGCTATAAAGGAACTACAGCACGGTCACATGACTTCACGTCACCACCGCTAAGCTAAAGGAGGCTAATGATGGGCTATAAAGGAACTACAGCACGGTCACATGACTTTACATCACCACTGCTAAGCTAAAGGTGGCTAATCAGGGTTAGTCCTTTCATTTAGACACTTGTTGTTTTTTAAATTCACCACTGGGGTATTTACTGACAGATTTTATGTCGTAGAACCAAATGTTAAAACTGACCTGAACAGTATGAAACACAAATGTTCAGACTCACCCCAGCATAGAACATCTTGTTTTTGAAACGACTGTTGAACTTCTCTGGGTTGGCCTCTGAAACATTACACACAGTAATCAGAAGAATACATATTTAGCAATTGTTCCCATAATCTTATCATCACATCAATATTATAGGGAACCGCCATTATATAATATTTGTTAATATGAATGTACCTCTTGACTCGTGAAACTCCAGAGTCACATGGGCATCAAATCCAAGACTGAAGTAATTGTTGAAAACATCTAGAGGGAGCTGAGAACACACACACACACACACACACACACACACACACACACACACACACACACACACACACACACACACACACACACACACACACACACACACACACACACACACACACACACACACACACACACACACACACACACACACACACACACACACACACACACACACACACACACACACACACACACACACACACACACACACACACACACACACACACACACACACACACACACACACACACACACACACACACACACACACACACACACACACACACACACACACACACACACACACACACACACACACACAATTATTTGGCATTTTACGCCTGGTTGTAACTTTTCATAAGAATAAATGGAGTTTCATTTTTGAATAAGAATAGTCCAAGAATAAACATCACAAATCCAGGAAATAACTTAGGAAAACTTAGACTCCAACACAAGGAAGATGAGTTTGACCCTGATGCTTGGTACGACGCAATCTTTAAAAAAAGGTGTGATTGTTTGATAAATAATGAATAAAAGAAAGAATAGAATAGAAAGGCCTTGTGTAATTCACATCTCTGAATCAATTGTAAACCCTTCTTCAGCGCTTAAAGCTTGTAACTGTTAGCTTTCATAATTTTCTGTCAGGTGGGGACTTCCAATTAAAATCAAATGAACACATTATCAGACTGTGAAACACTGTGTGATCACTCATCAAGTCATCAGCCTTTCATTTCTGCCATTAAAGGGGTAAAAGAGTGTTATTTCAAAGGATGGGATCCCTGATGATTTAGACTAAAAACATAATACCTGCCGATCTAATCTGTAGCGCTTCATTAACTCACCGTCAGAAATATTGCTCCTACCTCTTTGTCTTCATAACAGTTTCTCCTCTGATAATTGAACTCTCCTAAAATAACTTCTCAACACTTCATACTACAGTTTTTCCCCTTAGGAGCTAAGATGATTTACGAATCATTTACATCCTGCGATCAGTTCCAGGTCTCAGACACCAGCTCACATTTTCTGGATATAACAACTGTGTGTGTGTGTGTGTGTGTGTGTGTGTGTGTGTGTGTGTGTGTGTGTGTGTGTGTGTGTGTGTGTGTGTGTGTGTGTGTGTGTGTGTGTGTGTGTGTGTGTGTGTGTGTGTGTGTGTGTGTGTGTGTGTGTGTGTGTGTGTGTGTGCATGTGCTGACCTTATCAGTCTGCTGTTCGTCGGGTTCAGCCCCTGCACTGTGGTTTGGTTCAACCTGTAGATTCCACCTGTCCAGCTGGACAACAGTCCCATCCTCCACATGGGACAGAATCTTAGACAGGGGCTCGTCTGTGTAGCCCTGGAACACATGCACACTTACATTAGACATACACAAACATATGTGTATATGAACAAGGGATGGACTTTTTTTATTATTAAAAAGCTTAAGAAACACATGTATTTTGTATCTTTAAGGTGCCAATGAGCAGGTGTTTGTCAGTTTGTTCTCACCCCTCCCCAGTTGAGGGTCCTGGCGAGGTCATTTCCTGTCCCCAGTGGTAACACAGCAACAGGAGGTTGAGGATTTATCGCCAGCTCATCGAGACAAGAGAGGATCCAGCCCACCTGAGAACACACACGCAGATACTGAGATCCATGCTTCTCACAAACAGGAAGTGTTCAGTGTACCCGGGGTTATTAAATCACATAGCATGAGAACTGTCTATGCATTGATTACTCCTTAAATCCAGTGAATAAAAGGAGATCATCTATCATATCCCTGCACCACACACTTTGTACGTAGATTTTAAGATTTGACTTTTTTAAATTTTAGTCAGAACATCAATTAACTGGTTAAGTGATGCTTCTTTGATTCCAGATATACATCCTGGATGAAGCCAATTTTGTCTTGACAGGATAGAGAAAAAATAACTATGGTAGTCTTCAAGTTAACTGCACATTCTTCTAAAAGTACCTTCCAATAAATATTAATATTTTAATATTTAAGTAACCAACCACAGCATCAGTTTATTGGTCCTTTTTTATTGTTCTAGCTATCTCTTCGTTGTATTTCTGGGTTTACTTACAGTTCCATCCCCCCCACAGGCCAGGATTTTCAGGTTGTGCACTCGTCGATACAGCTCCAAACTACAAGATGGACACAGGTTAATGACATCACCAGAAGATGTTAATTGATGTGCGTGTGCGTGTGCGTGTGTAAACGTACCCCTCCTGTGGTCCTCCCTGGCTCAGGTCAAACACCTGCCTGGGGTTCAGATACCACATGAAGGACTGCATGATCTTAGTGCCCTGTCGAACACAAAAACCCAATCAACGTTGGAAGACGAGGACTAAACTGACCCAGAATCTGCTCACAGTGCAGCGGTGAGCTAAAAGCTTGACTAACTGGATGACATGTTAACCGGTTCATAGACAAGTTCATTGAAATTGCAGGGTGTGCTGCGTGTTCCTACATACCTGGTTCCCTCCACTTCTGGGGTTGACAAACACCAGCAGAGGTTTCATCAGCGGTGAGGGGATGGGTCTGATTAAAAAGGGTTTCCACTGCCGTCCTTCCTGTCAGAGAAGAAGATTATCTGCTCAGATCCTCTACAGCAGTGTTTCTCAAACTTTTTCATACCAAGGACCACTTAACCAATAAAAAAACCACTTGCGGACCACCTAACTCCACAAATATCCAAAAACAATAGGCCTGCTCACCACTCCAACAGTACATAACAGCCTAATAATGACAGCTTAACCTTCTCTATATCGCCTCGTTCACACATTAAATCAACAATACAAATACAACTACAGATTATATAAGCATTTTGTTCAAATGCTATTTAAAATGTTCAGGTTTTACACCTCTTATGGAATGTAGACTACATTTATTACGGAGTTTATGTCCGAGCTAACAGACTCACAGATCGTTGGTTACTGAGAGAAATGCAAAATACACCGCATGTAATACGACACAAACCTCCGCTGTGGATTTTCAAAACAAAATACAGTAAAACTATGGTCGCAGTTTAACTCTCTGAGGTCTAAGCCCTTTGTTCACATGTTAGGCTCGCGTGGGCTTTTTTTGTAAAAATGCTATTAAAACATGAACCTTGGTGACCATCGGGCTGGCCTGCATGGTCTGCCTACAAAACAAAAATAAAAAACGTTTATGCAGCCCCAACAACAGCCTCTGATTCATCAACAGACTTCATGCAATGCTTCATTGGATGCATTAGATAATAATCTCTATCTCACTCCTAACACATCTAAATCTACTTCCAGCATGGATAAATGTTCATAAAAGACATCCATTGTTTGTTCTATACGCTTCTTGAAAAATAAAAAAAACACATCGTTTTTCTAGAACAGATTACAAATCGCCTGGAAATGGTACAAACAAGTGGCAACATGTGTGACGAAGGTGTTGCACTGGGCTATATCATGCAATCGAAAGTGAAACTTAAGCTCGCTTCATTGCGGAGATATTCCCGCGAGAGTGCGGAAAACTTAAATGTATTTATTTATTTCAAATGTGAAATGTTACCAATATACTCACGGACCACACTTTGAGAAGCACTGCTCTACTACAGCACAACACAGTCCATTCAACCTGTTAACCTGGGACTCTATTTAATCCATGTTATCTGGATATTTTCACAAACGTAGCCCACATCAAGTCCCTTAGAACAACAGAGATCCAGATGATAGTGCAGGACTGACCTCTGCTCCTTTCTTGCTGCTTTTCCTCTTGAATGATGTTCTCTTCTTCTTTTTACTGGACTTCATAGATGACTGGAGTGAGACACAAACAGAGACATTAGCTGCACATCACTGTGGCTCTAATTCACTCAGAGCAGAGATCAAAACCTCACCGGCCTCTTGATAACAGGAAAGTATGATAATGACAGAAGACATATCCATGTTAGAGATGTAACAGCTCACTATTAAATCATACCTGCTCGCCTGAGTCTGAAGAAAGCCCCCATGCAGAGGTATTTAGCTGCTTATACAATATACTTTGAAACCTGACTAAAACATTATCTCTATCTTCTACAAGTAAAAGATTATAATTAAATTCTTCATTTGTTTTGGGAACATGCGTATAGACATAACTAAAAACAGTTGCAATACCACTGCACTGTATTTATACTACGACATGATTATTACTTTGACTAAATCTTATTTGATGTTATATCACAACTGCCATCATCAATGACTAACTTATCTCTCTCTGGGCCAACTGGCTGGACTCTGAACCTACAACCAGTGGAGACATTTAAAATCAGCCAATCACTACTTTTGGTTCTGGGCGTGTCCTTATATGGTAACTTCTGGCACTAGATTCATTCAGAAAACGAAATTGTAATACAGACAAAAATTGCCTTTAATTGGGACAAATGTATTTTTGGGCTCTTCATTCAATCCCCACAAATTCAAAACTAAACACCGATTTGGAATTCTGACTGTCTGCAATAGAAACAATAAGTTCACAATGGCTCAAACATGACAACCCATCTCTTGACAACTGGTATGATAAATCTGTGAAATATTTGTTATGGAAAGAATCACTTTTTCCACCGGGCTTCAGGAAAATCATTTGAGGAAACAGGGAAAAAGTGTATGAAATTAAAGTGTAAATCAGAGTGAGTGTTACCTGATGGCGTCGGACGCGAATGATCCATGTGGGCGGGACTATGAGTGCAGCGTGAGCTCCTATTGGGCAAGCCTCCTCAATCTGCTGCAGCATGAAACAGGACACCTTGTTGTGGTACTACAGAGGGACATAAAGACATATTTAAATCACTGACATCTGTAGAATAATGTAACTCAGTGCCTTTCCAAACACTCACAGCCTGTTTGCACCAGGAGCAGCTGATGGCCACGATGTCTTTACTGTGGAACGCAAACTTCTGCTGGAATCCCTGCACACAACAACATCTGCTGATCAATATGACTTCCAACTGACAGTTCAATTATTGGTCAATAGAGAAAAATCTCACTCACTTTCCCACATTGTTTACATTTGCCTTCTTGCCTTCTCCGATGCACCCAGTGATGACGCACCACAGCGGGCTGAACACACACAAACCGTCATTTACATCAAAGAGCATTCAAGAGATTACCTTTTCTAACATTGAGTTGATAGAAGAAGTGCAGGAAGAAGCTTCTAGAACTCACCTCGCGGATGTTCCTCGAGCCGGATTCTCTGAAAGACGGCTTACACCTGAAATTAATCTGCAGGAGAGCAGAGGAAGAGTAGGGAGAAGAGTCGGGAGGTGTCAGTACAAAAGTGATAAGTGGAGTTCCAGCTGCAAACCCACCTGGGTGCTGTGATTATTTCATATGGTTCGAGGAGAAGTATGGAGTTTCAGAACAGACGTAGACTAGAGTAGTGATCAGAGTGATTCCCAGGGATCAGGGTGGCAGGTGGATTTTGTTTTAGGAGGAAGAAGCGTTTAGGCAAAAGAGGTTTACATGTGATTTTGAAGAGGTGAAATGGAGAGGAACCATATGTAGAACCAGGTACCTCAGTAAGAGGGTTTTTGTGTTTTTAAAATGCACACCCACTAATGTGCACACCATTAACAGACTCACAGAATGATCTGATATATAGGGTACATATGTATAAAATGATGCAAAGCTTATTTACACATGTTGAAAACATCAAGTCATACTGTAGGTTACAATATGTAACTTAATGGTAGTGTCACATGCTGTATAATATCAATGTGTTGGAGGTATACATTGATTTCATAATTAGACATTGCTTTTCTTGCCGTCTTTGTTTATAACAAGACCATTTCTCATTATATAGTTTACAATGTTTAGTTAAGTAGTAGTTCTTTATGCTTTTATTTTGAAGTAGCTCCGGGTGATTTCATGTATATATAATCCAATGTCAATATATTTCTGTCTTTGTAGTATATTCTATATATTTCTGATATCTATTGTAGAGTATTTTGATTTATTCAGTTTTGTTTTATATTGTGTATTATTTAGATACTCTAGTGATAAATATATTTTCTACTTTGAATATGTATAAATCTTATTCTATCTTTTAAACAATTTCACTCTCAAACATCTCTGCTTGACAACACTGCAGCTGTGGGAAAATTATTTGTGAATTTGGAATGAATAAATTATCTATCATCATCATCATCATTTGGGCACAGGTGATTCGGTATTTATTGGAGACAGGTGGAGGTGGGATTGACTCCACCTTAAGTGTTTCCCAGAGAGGCCTCCCATCTCTGAAACCAACAGGACAGACGTTACCCGCTCAGAGGAGTGACAGAACTTTGATCAAGCAGAACATGAGACGGTGAGGGAAAAGAGAAGGACCCCATTAGGATGTAAGGACAGAATGGGGTGTGTGTGTGTGTGACCCAGACACCACCTGTCCTGTTTCTGTCAGACTGAGGACCCACACCAGGAGAGAGGAGGGAAAGGGGGGGGGGGGGGGGGGGGGGGGGGGGGGGGTGTATCTCACTCTAAAGTCTGGGTCATTGAGGGGCAGGGTGGCATCCAACAGAATGGCTCTAGATGTGGGGAACTGGAACAGGAGGGATAGTTAAAGACACGTGCACTGTCCTCTGCTACAAGAAATGTAATAGCTGTGAAGTGAAATCAAATAAATAATTCTCTGGATCTGACTTTAGATTTGCATCATGACGGAGGGTTTAAAATAATCCTCTTTCTCACTTCTCTCTCATCTTAAACTCATCTTTGACAACTCAAAATGTAAGCCTTCTTTATTGTCACCTTTTGTCCCCTTTAAAGGATGCTTTAAAGATCCATCTTGAATCTCCTCTCCACCTTTATCTGACTGAGGGTTTACACCTGCGTCTTTCGGCTTCAAGTCTCCATAAAGGAGATTAAAAGGTGAGCTTATTTAAATTCCCTGAGTAAAACTATTTAAAATCTATGAGAGAGAAATATACCTTCTCCAGTTGTTCTATACAGATGGTGTGGGCCACGATCTTACACGCTGCACACTTCCTGCGACTCACAGACTTTTGCTAGAAACACAAAGAAACACAGTTTAGAAATACCGTAAAACAACCACACATATACAATCACTTTACTCAAAGTACTATTCAGTTTGCAGCTGGTAAATGTTTTTTGAATGGGAAAAATGAGGCAGTAATGATATATGTGACCACCAGGGGGCAGTCCTGTGCTGCAGAAAGAGACACGCTGTGGGCTGGAAGCTGGTACTGAAATTAGAATGATGATATGATGCTTTATGACTTGTGAGGTATCATATGTATGTGTGATGTGATGGGCTGTGATACGAGCCGACATGAGTACAATTAAACCATGATGTGTCCGTGGTGATGACACCAGAGGTCCTTCAGCGGGAAATACATCTCTGTAGCATCACTGTGCAGAAGGTGTTAAAGCAAAGAGCAGAGTGGGTTCTCTAAATGAGTCACATTGCCATCTTAAGGTATAAATGTTTAACTGATGTGAGGGGTGTGACAGTGAACGATGAGGGGAAATGAAGCACAGGCTGGAACAAGCACAAGCTTTTTAACGGCAGAACACCCATAATGTCTCACTATTATTCAGCCATTTCTTCGGTATATTATGGAATGGTTTTCAGCAGAGAAGTGTAAGGAATGTGCGATGAAATAGCTGTGTATATTTCATTGTTTTAATAGTGTCTCATTGGTGACCTCAATTGAGGAAAAGTGGATTTTTCACTATGAATATAGTAAGGTAATATATAATAAGAATGAATATACTTCATATATAAATTACAACACATGTTCTTTCCTTTTATGACTGCACAGCTGGATGGAACTGTATTGAGTCTTGCAACATAATCTTGCACTACTTTATTCTACTCTGTTTCTTCTTTTTATTGTTTTAAATTAGTTTTATTGTTATCTTAAATATATAGATTCATGTTGAATTGTTGGAGGAGCCTGGGACTTAAGATTTTCATTGACATTACTACACTGTAGCTACTATGACAATAAAGCAACCTTTGAATGTTGAATCTTTGATATGTCGCACATATTTATTTTTTTAGATCTAAATGTGTCATATTCTTACTTCCTTGTGTATTTATATTTCTTGTAAATATGTATTTGTATTTATTAATTTCATAATGGTTAATTAAATAGTTCTATATATGCTTGATTTGTACACTGTTATTGTGTGTATGTACTGCATTTGTTTGAAACAGCAGTATATTCATTTTAAAAAGAGCAAGGACCCTCAACAAGAGAGTGAATGAACCCTGGACATAACATCAACTCTCTGTGAACACCAGTCATAGCAGCTGGGAAAAGGTCAAAGGTCAGAGCCCAGCAGTCAGAGGCTGAACAGAGATAGAGAGGAGGAGGATATTCACATGTGACACCAGAGATCAGAGATCATCTGTGATCGGCTACAGGGCTATCAAATTAAATATGACAGCTATTCCATCAAACGGAGGCCTATGAGAGACTATAGGTGGGCCGTGATGAGGCTTCTGACACATAGACACCCTGTCGGATCAACTGAATACAATATATTGATAATGGACTTGTAGAAATATTATTGGGGGCACAGAGGAGAGAGGAGATACTTACCAGTGCTCTGGCTATACAGTGTTGTTCCCCCACATAACAGTAGTCTCCAGATGCATTGGTCTCATACCAGATATGATCTCCATACTGAGCCGCCTCCTACAGGGGGGGGGGGCACAGAGACACACAGGAGAACACATCATGATAATCACCTTATTATTTGTTTCACTGATGGTTCACTTTAGCATCGATAGGTCACTGATGAAGCATACAAAGATGTTAGATGATTGTGCAATCAGTGGCGCTACAGTCCACTACTGTTCATATAGGTGTTCATATAGGTATTTAAATATAGATGTTAATAATATGCCTGCACAGTTGACTTATTCAGCCGTTTCTTCAATCAGGACAGACTGTCTCACTGGCGAAACCTACATTTCAGAGACATATTTGTTGTCCTGACAGCGAAAACAGCCCAGAGGGAGGGTAAGGTGTGTGATGTCACAGCTGCTGAGCTACTGCTGTAGGCATGAGGTGAATATGTGTGTGCGCGTGTGCATGTGCGTGCGTGTGCGTGTGCGTGTGCGTGCGTGTCATACTCACAGTCCAGTCCAAAGTGCTGCGGATGTGTGCCTCTGAGTCGGTTCTGGTCAGGGAGGATGTGCTGGGCTGGCAGGGCAGCGTGTGCAGGCCTGACTTAGCTATGGCTTTCCTGGAAACACAAAGAGACGCAAAACTGTGAATGCTCACGTGTCTTCCTGATAATTAACTCAAGAAAAAGAGGCAAGAAAACATAGATATTGGTTTCAATAATACCAATGATAAACTTTACTTAGATAGTCCTACAAAGAGTTGGATTATCTATAGAGGACATGTGACCAGATTGATATTTAAAATGATACTAATGATGTGAAATATTACTGATCAAACTTTATATACACAAGATAAAAGCATATCAAACACACTTAGTAAAAATGAAACAGAGTGAACTGTGTTTCCTGCCGATGTTCTCTTCAGTATTGTAGACTTACAGCAGTGTGTATAACGTAAATCAGGATACCAGAAATTAGGTAGGCAATACCAATAAATATATAAAATAAATGAAATAAAATTAACAATTCTGGATAACCAATTAAAAAACTACTGTGAAAAAAAAAATGTCTACAAAATAAATCCAGCAATCAGCTAGCAGCTAACAGCTAGCAGCTAACTAGAAGCACAATCAACATTTCAATTTCTTATATTTCATCATGTGACTCTTAGTCACATGATGAAATATATATTTTCATCATGACATTTTTTTTTTTTAAATGCTGCTGTGTGGACGGGCCGTTAGTTTTTAAATGCACCTTAGACTTAAAGGTGGGGTAGGTAATTTTGGAGAAACCAGCTCGAGTGCGCAAGAATTTGAAAATACACAGCCGGAAAAAATCTGCCACTTCCTCACAGAGCCCCTCCTCCAACACACACGAACGCGCACATGACCAATGAGGGCACGAGATAAGTTTGTGCACAGATGGAAGGCTGACAGGCAGGTAGGCCATCCAGTTATTTTAGCCGGGCCGGCTCAGATGATTGGTCGTGCTTTTTACAGTACTACGGCTTCCACAGATTACATTTTTTTATGCATTTTTTGTCAAAGCACTTAAGATATTCATTGCTATCGGGATGTTAAGAGCATTCCATGGAATATAACAAAAAGTGTATCTCGAGCCGGTTTCTCAAACTTACCTACCCCACCTTTAACGGTATATCTGATTATATTTCAATGGCTTTATTTCCTGGGAACTGTTACTAACAAAATAAATAAGAACCAGAAAATAATAACTTCTAGTTTGGCCCTCAAAATAGAAGCATGAAATGAGGTTAGTCAAATATATCTAATACTGGGCATGTTAAGCAATACAGCCGTACATATAACACCTGGCAGATGCACAAGGACCGAGCCACAAGTGTCATCTCTCCATTGTCAGTACTGCGCAACAGACTTCACAAAAGAAAAGTCACCTACTTTTTATACATCCATTCTCTGCACAGGACTGACTCACATACAGACAAACAACCATTTATATCCACACAAACAAATCAATAAGCAAAGCAGCATGTGTGTGGGCTGTAGAGAGAAGAGGAAAACTCTCAACACAGCACCGTACTGCTTTAAAAAAAAGATATTTGTATGGTGAAGTTCAACAGGAAGTGGAGGGTTATTTTTGTTTGTTTGGATTTTTATAGACATTTTTCATAGTTCCGCATATTTACCGTAATAGCAAATTGTCTGGATAAACTTTCGCATTGATTCGACTAAGCAACAGGTGTTGGCTCAAATTTACGGATTAAATCTAAATGACATATCTAAAGCAGCAAAGAGCCTAAAAGGAAGAGGGAAATGATCTCAAACCCAAGTATGAATATGAGATAAAAAGGCACTGTGAAAATAACAGAGGAAGGAAAAGCAGTTTCTTTTAGACAGATGATGTCCCGGAAAATAAAACCTGCTCAACTACATTGTGCACGCCATGGAATAACAATTCTTGCGATGAGGAAATGGGATGAGATGACATTATGTGAGATCACTAAAGAGAAGATGGAGTTTACATACATATCTTATTAAGAGCTGGTCTTTTGAAAGTTTCAATCAGATATTCTGTGTTATATGTTTACCTGGGAGCATTTGTTTCTATCGTATAATGAGGCATGTTGGTGTTGGAAAGTCACTGAAGAAAATGCACAGCAGCTTTTAGTGTTAGGGCTGAGATGTAGCGGGGGAGCCTTAAACTGTGCATTTTAAAAAGCTTTTTAATACGACTCATTATATTATCACTTATGTCCTACCAACGAGCCAGATTTTTGATTTGTGATCGAACACCCTGGTGTTTCAACAACGCAGAGTTCGACAGCAGCCAGCAGAGAGCGCAGCGCTGAGGGACGGCCATGAGGTCATCAAGTTCTGAGATATCCGTCTCCTTAGAGCCTGATTCTAATAAGGAAGCTTTAAGGCTACATATCTGCCTCTTATCTTTTTGATTAATTTGGGTTTTAACTTGACATTTTTTGCGTAGTGACAAAACTAAATGGAGGGTCAGAGAGTCATAGTAATGTAGATTATGACCAGAGGCGCGGGAAGGTATTTTGAGTGGGGGTACTGAGGAGATGTCCGATGTGCCAATTCCACACAGGGGTGGGGTGGGCGGGGTGTGACGTTGACATACACCGAGCAAAACCACACACACACACAGTGCATAACAACGGACTCCAGTGCACGCTATTACGGGCACTATAGAGCACGCACACACACTATTAAGATGTAAAATATTATTTTACCAACAATGTGGAATTGACATTCATTGAAGTAGGCTATCAAGGCATTGCTAATTCCTGGCTACATATTACACAGATTCTGCGTAATAATGCCCTGCATCTTCTATTTCAATCTTTTTAGCAGATTTTGCGTTTTTAGTGAGAAAGAATTCCGAGATACGTTTTTGCGCCATTTCAGTTACTTGTCACTTGTGTTGTGCGTCACGTTAAAAGTAGCCGACTAAAAACTAACAAAACACTTTTTTTCCACACCTTTTTTATTTTTCTTCCCTGAAGCTAAATAATTTATTATCTAGTTTTAAATTATCATTTGAATAATAATATATAATATAAAATATATCTCAGGCACAATGAAATGAAATACAAATATTATATAAAAAAATAAAATGTGCAGGCAGAGGAGCTCTGCCTGCCTGCCGCTAGGGGGTGCTGCAGTGCCCTCAGCACCCCCCTTCCCGCGCCCCTGACTATCAGCAGATTTCAAAGACGTATGGTATGGGTATTCGTTTCAGATACTTTGGAGGCACAAATCCTCTGCAAGGGCTTAAGGTATGCACATTATACATGTTCTTTCTCTTTCTCTCACCACAAAAATGAGTGGTGAATTAGTTCTCATTGTAATATGATGGTCATCCTGTGATATACGAAAGTGTGAGCCAGCCAATACAAGGACTTCAAAAACTGTATGTATCTCCGAGGTAAAAAATGATATAGTGTGTGAGTGTGTGTGTGGTACATACGTCAGGAAGTTCTCCCATGTTTCCAGATAAGGGTCATAGTATATGGCTCCCTCGGGCCCCCCTAGTGGTGAAGAGGTGCTTTTCTGGAGAGTGGAGCCATAGCGGGCCCTGTTTATTGGAGCAGCACCCCCCTGACCCAGGCTGGGGCTGGTCGTGGAGGTCTGGATCTGTTTCATCTTCTCTGTCCACTGAACTTGACTTGACCCACGTCGATTATACCGTCCGTAAACCCCATAACCTGAGTCTGGAAGGGGGTGGGAGGAGTTTCGTCTCAGGCAGCGAGGGGGGCGGAGCAAGGGGTGGGGCTTAATGTTCTCCATAATGTCTGCCTGGGTTAAGTACCAATGTGTAGTCCTCAAGCTCATATCCCGTTCCTCACTCCCTTCCTCTCCATCAGACTCCGAACAGGAAGAGGTGTCCTCCTCTTCATCTTCCTTCACTTCTCTACCCATCTGGACTACACTTGCAAGTAACAAAGAGGATCCGAATAAATGAGATTCAATAGATTTGATTCTAGAAGGACGTCGATATCGCAGTGCCATCCCACGCTGAACGCCACCACGAGCATGGTGAGGTTTGTACTGAAACCCCCGCCTTCCTCTCGTGATGACTCCATCTGCTCTCTCAGTTCCTCTTCCAGATCCTTCCTCTGCTTCACTTGTTAAACCTACCTCTATGATGGAGTGGCGCCTCTGTCCAGTAGCCACCAATGAGCCCACACTGGGGCGCCGGCGCTGCTCAGCACAGACCGGAGGTAAGCCCACCGAGGAGCGTCTGGACTGAACCAACGCCGCAGAAGGCAGACCCGCACTAGAGCGCCTCCTGGCTTTGCTGGTCTGAAGAGCAGCGCCATGCTTCGGTTTCTTCTGACGGCCACGGAAGAAGAAATCCATCATGTCTGCAGATATGGATAGTGCTAAAAATGATATGTGGTATCTAAGAATCTATATGGTAAAGACATATCATCGCCTTTCCCCTTCCGTCTTCTGATGATGCTTTGAGATCCGTACAACAGAAGATGGTTTTCATGATAATTGATGATAGTCCAGATCTTTTGTTCAAATCCTCCTTTAGAAATGCTGAAGGGACAAACAGGCTTTTCTGTTTAAAAAATGTTCCTTAAATGGCATCGTCAATTGTTTCCATAATACAAATGATAAACTTTACTTAGATAGTCCTATAAAGAGTTGGATTATCTATAGAGGACATGTGACCATTCGTGAACATATCTACAAACACTTTGCACATTTTAGTCGAACCTGAACTACTCACACATCCTATGCTCAGTTATACAGCAGATGTTCAGTGAGTAGAACAAGTAGGTATGTACAACAATTGTCACAAATGATCATCTCTCATTTGTAGGACTGTCCAAATTAAGTGTTTTCCATTATAAAATATACATTTGCATGCTTTAACCATCCTGTTCAATGAGATCAATGAATTCCTGATGCAGTGCTGCTTCCTCAAAAGTCAGTTGGTGCCAAGATCCTAATATTTTGGTTTATCTGGTTCCTGTTTTCCTTTTGGTCATTGTTTTTACTTCCTGTCTTTGCGTGTTTTCAAAGAATTAAATCTTTATTCATTCAGAAAATGAATGTTAAGAAATAACAAGCGTTTGGAATTGACAATAACCTATTCATGTAATGTGAGCTCTCCTAGTTATTAACTTACAAAGAATGTTCACCAGGAGTGTAACTTTACCCTTCTTTATCTCATGCCTCAGGTGTTCAGGCTCATTTGCAAACACAGGGAGATCCTCTTGTTTCTCCTCGCTCTAAAACGTATATAACTAAAACTAGCAAGAATGTTGCTCAGACAGCAGCTTGTCCTGCTTTTCGTCTCCTGCACTTCTCACAAAACACACTCACACACACTCTGTGTTGTGTCATCAAAATCACTCTTCATGTCCGTGTGCCAATTGGCGCACTTTTCTCCATCCAAAACACAACATTCATTCATTCATTCTCTCACATGGGAAATACTTTTTAAATACTATTGTTTTGAAATAGAGGAATGGCAGACTTTGTGTTCGAAGCCTTCAATTTGGCCCAGGGGACACACTGCTAAAGCGTGGTCTGAGTGACAGTCCCCCAATGCATTCACCTGTAAACAGAGCTGCCCACTTGTGATCAGATTACATGGGAGCATAATAACACAGGGTCTGATCAGGGCAGGGCTCATTCAGAGTCACACTCTGATTCTCCTAGGCTTGATAGGATTTGTATTTATTATTTAAAAAGTCTGTCGCTCTGAGACCCGAGGTATTTGGTGGACCAAAACCTTTTTGAGTCTGAATATATCTGTTTTTGCTGTCAAAAGCAGAAGTGTGATATGAAGGTAAGTTGTCTGACGAAAACCATGACAACCAATCTGAACTGTGGCTCCACATAATCAAGCCACATAGAGCATGGGAATCTAAAATGACATGTCTGGAAAAGTAAATAAAGTAAATGTGTGTTGCGCCTTCAGTTGCCTGCTACACACTGCTTTAACTGACATGAAGGGTTTGCTAACCGAGAGAGAGACAGATATCATATCAGATGGTTGCACAACCAACCATCATCAGCAATGTTTTAGCACAATATCATGAGGACATGATAAGAAATGTCACTGTGCAAAATGGACACTTGGCCGATTTGTCTTGTTGAGTGACTACGGTACTGTGAACAGATCTACATCATTAGACTTTAAGACTTTCCATGACAACACAAAACCTAGGCATTAGAACCTCCATAAGGCCCCATTCATTGCATAAACATGGTGGAAATAAACTGTTAGTGTGTGTTTGCCCAGGATGACTGGCCCGTCAGACATGGGCAGTTTTGCATAAAAAAGTACTAATTTTGTAATCATTAACTTTTTCACTTTGTTGCTCCGTCTGGTTTCACCTCTCAGCAAGGGAACGAACCGTTGTTGTGTTTGCTGATGTTTACAGAATCCATTTTTTGAAAGCTATGACCTTTTTACGAAGGCAAAAAGAGCTTGGTGGTTAAAGAAGAGGAAAATGAACAGAAGATTTGTTCATTTTTTTAAGTTTTACAAATGATCATACAGGAAACATGAAGGGATGAGTCAGGGCCTCAGACCACAGCACCACCAACTGTCAGCACGCCAGATGAGCCTGTAGGTAAGAGAACCAGACAGGAAACATGGCATGTGATCAGTGTTGTCACCGACTCCCACAGAATAGAATATCATGTAACACAAGACATCAGATGTGCAGGATAAAAGAGTGAGCTGCTTAGATCTCTGCTCTGACAGGAAATCTGCACGCTTCACTTAATCCCCCCCTACCACTGACATTAAACAATCCCCGTCTCATAATGCCCCGTCACAAAGGTCAGGGGTCATCACAGTGGTGAATGGCTTTCATAAAGCTACACACGACAGCTATAGTTTGAGGTCATATGCAATTATTTTTCAAATAATTATTTATTACGCAGAGGATTTAAGGGTGGTCCACCTCTGGATTGTGGCACCACTACAATTTGTTTTCCTGTTCAACATACAAGCCACAAACACAGACATGGAGGGATCTAATCAAGCAAGTGTACCCCATGGAAAGGATAACATAAAAACACATAGCTGAAAATAGATGGAGAAAATTGATTGTTTTGTCCGACTTATGATGAAATATGAACTGTATGAGCCATTTAGTGCTGTGGATACAAGGTAGGGCTGCTCGATTATGGCAAAAATCATAATCTCGATTATTTTGGTCAATAATTGATATCACGATTATTAAAAACAATTATCCATTTACTTTGAAAACATCCATTTATTGAAAAACAAAATGTGAACAGTATGTTTTTAACAGTTGATTACCCTGAACTTTAAGTATAATTCAACTGAAAAACCAATTAAAAATGAAAATTAAAGAATAATCGTTTTATTTCGATTATGTTGTTTTCATAATCGTTGCAGGCATCGTAATTGCTATTAAAATACGATTAATTGAGCAGCCCTAATACAAGTACTAAAATTGGCACAAAATACTCGTTACTCTTTTGCAAAAGCACGTTAGCCTCTCAAAAATCCAAGATGGCGATCTAGTTTTCATAGAGATCAGAAATATATTTTTGTCTAAGATGATAATGTAATATAAAGCTAGCAGCATCACTTCCTATGGCAGCTGTTCTTTAAATGACTGGTGGCCAGTGTAAATACCTAAGAACAGGAGTAATGTGAATGTTGTGTGTACATGAGAACTCTAATTCTTGTTACTTTAAGGTTATTCAATGTTGCAGAAGTTCACATTTTTTAAACAACAAGATGTAGAACTTGGCCCAACGTCTTTCCCCAAAATCGACCTGAGCAATAACGTACCTTCTTTTCTTCTTGTTGCCCTAAATAATCATTTGCATTCCATCTTTATTAACTGAAGGACACTTATCCAGCTATTCACTTGCTCTTAGCATTGTCCGAGTGCTGTCTTTGTAGATGTAATAAACAATGTTGACGCCATGTATGATTTGACCTAAAGGGAGCATGTACAGAATAGTGGGCCAAGAATTGAGCCCTGGGGGACTCCACATGTCATAGCAGTTTTATGCTTAGATTGATGATCACCAATGGCAACAACATAACCTTGGCCTTTGCACTTTGCCAAATAACCCCAGCCACTTTTACAGCATGTATGATCCACAGAATCAAAGTAATGTTTTACCTGAATCAGTATTCATTCCAACATCATTTAACACTGAACACCATTATAGATACACTAGGACACTGAAATCTGTCCAAAAGAATATTAAAATGTACATTTAAAAAGTTGTTCTGTTCAATCAAAACATTTTAATTCATATTTTCCAACAAATGGAAGATTTGAGATGGGTCTGGGTTGTTTTTCTTTAGAAGGGGCAACAACTGCACCTTTCTGCAGAATGAATGTTCAGCGGAGACATATTAAACCTGCTTATCTCTGATCTTTTATATCCATTCCCTCTAAACTATATTGGGCCTAGTGTTTACCCCACTCTCTGTGTGTGTGTGTGTGTGTGTGTGTGTGTGTGTGTTGCTGTTATGTAACTGCTGCCTTCTTCAATGATAATCCCCTACCATATCGGGGCAAAGTGATAAAGGGATGAGACGAGGGTATTACCCAATAGTGTGTATTCTCATGTTAACACAGTGTGTATTCTCATGTTAACACAGCATAGCGCTCTATGTTTGGCTGAATAAATACATCAAACACAACTAAGATATTAATATCTGCATATGGAGGCAGTCTCTTGTTTCCAGACATATCAACTTCCACAGGAGGGAGCAGACTCCTTTCAAAAGGTCTTCTAAAAGCCTAACACTTCTCATCAGGAGTCATTAAACGTTTAACAATATTCCCACTCATTAACTATCATACATACATTCTTATTCACTGTAATTATCTGCTTTATTTACCAATCCCAAGACCTTACCTTAGCTTGGTTGGGATTTATGACCTTCATGGCCATCGTTACACAAATAAACACATGGTGAGGTCATGGAACAATCCAGGTAATGCTATTGACCTTTCCTCTACTTCCAGAACCACCCCAACAAATATGAAGAACCATCTGTTATGCCCAACTCATATAAAGCTATCCTGAAGGTGCCATTACTCCAAATGGACCAAACGTGTCAGACCCATCAGTCAATTGACCAACCAACATCACACAGATGATGAATCACTTCTTCAACACACACACAGACACACTGTTAAAGATCAGGCCATTCTCTTGTCTGCAACTCTACATCCTCTGTGATGCTATCTGACCGCTTGTATGCTAACGGTAACATCACACCACACAGAAGTTGGAATACTGGTTCTTAGGAAGAATGCTGAATGAGCAACTGGGGGGGGGAGGTTGTATGTGTGTGTGTTCGGGGGGGAGAGACTACCCAGAGCTACGTGCTGCTGGGTTAAATATTTACATGAAAAATAGTGAAGTGCTAGAGACACACGGAGCAATGTGGTTTTCCTCAACTGTGAGAGAGCTCACCGTAGCAATGCAGTGAGAGCTAGCTCTTCTCTCTGAGCAGAAGGATCCATAGGGTGAGCTTTGTCTCGGGGGGGGGATTCCCTTGATTACGAGTGGAGGAACCTGCCGTTAGACCCCCCATCCCGATTTCTGCCATGTTCTCACGTAAACAAAACATACAGAGAGAACACGGTCAGCAGCCAAGCCTCGCGCCCCCCCCAGCTTGGGTGTCATGTTACGGATGAATAGAACCTGGGTAGATGAATAGAAATCGTGGGAGCAGTTCTGTGAGTCATCAGCCTAACTGCCAATTCAGTACAGCAATAAAAAAGACCTCCGAGACGCCTGTAACACTGTGGACCTCGAACGCCACACCAAGTCAACGCTCATGAGGAAACCATGAAGGGTTTATTCCTATGTGTGTGGCTGAGTGAGCTGCATGCATAGAAACTGCTATCCGTAAGAAAACATCATTTAATGGAAATGTGAAAAGAGATGTTGTTTCTTCACTAGCTACATGTACAGCTGACATGCAGAAACAAAAACAAGTCACTGGAACAAGCTGTTGTTACTATAAAAGGATTGGTATAAAGGGGGGGTGATCTCTCATAAATATATGAGATATTACTGATGGTCTGAAGTTTGTTTATATCTCAATTAAATGAAAACTCAATGACAAACGTTTCTTTTATCTGATGATAAAAAGCGTTCCGTCATGTCTTTTGTTAAATCATGTATGGCTATTAAAGCATAATTCATATATCTATACTTCCATCATGTCTGTACAGGAAACATGGTGGTCTTGTTAAATACTGCAGATGTCTACAGTGGAGTGAAGCTCATGACAGGACACGTCAGACGTACAACTCTCACCAACACTGTGAGGCTCTCCTGCAGCAGTCTGATGCTCTGTGTTCACCATCCCAGCCACAGCAAGGAACTAAACACTTCCGGGAATATAAAAGCCATCCAGCTGTTCTGTTTCCTCTATAACATATGTGGCACAGTGTGCAGTCTGTCAACAGTGTGACCACTAAATGTAAGTGTGGATCGAAGAAAAAAGAGAATAATAATAATCAAAAACAAAGAAATCTCCTGGACGCTTCCACAGTGAATTATAATTGAAATCACCAATACTGGGTATTATTGCACGCAGAGAAAGAAGAAATATCCAATTACATTTCCGTCACTCTTAACACCTATGCTTATAACCAATTGCTTTAATATGTAATTGGACTATAATTGTAATCACTATAATTTAAAAATATGCTTATTGGATTCCTAGAGTACAAAAAGATGGAGTTTGCATGACTGGGATGAATAATGACCTTTCCAGAAGTCAGGTTTTGATGTTATTAAATACACCTGATACTACAATAAACCATTGAGATACCTATTGTTGCAATTTTGTGGAGCTGGCTATACTTTCTTCCATTGGAGGAGGTACGGTGCAGTGTGCAGTGTATGAATGTAGCTCAGAAGACGGACAGCAGGCTGCGGTCCACTCCACTCCCTCCTGTTGTCTGCCGTGAGGAACCTGTTGGGATCTGCCTCCTCTTACATTGTTCTAAAGAAGGAACCAAGTGACAACATCATCTGCAAACACAATCCCTTGCTCAGCACCTTACATGACATGTGTGCAGTGTAAACAGCAGCCTCTGATCACCATCCTCTCTCCTTCAGTCTACACGCTGACATGTGTAAGGTCTAAACAGCAGCCCTCATGTCAGCATAATAACCGGAATGATTCAAACACGCATCTCTACAAACACACACGCACGTAGGTCATCTTAATCATAAGCCATGCACCTCTGTTTATATCAATAACACAGCCAGTAAGATGATGTGTAAGCAACACTTACAAAACACAAAGTAGGTGTAACATGACAAAATTCTATATATTTAAGCGCCTCATTCACTCAATGTTTAACTTGCTATTCAGCTTCCGGCTCTGATATAAATCATTCATTGACTTAGTGGTTCCACTCTTACTGACCACAATCCAGAAATAAAACTGCTTCTTTTATAAACCTGTCTAAGGCTCAAACAAACAAGACTATAAGAAATCCATTACTCCATTATCCAATACAACTATTATTAATTTCATCTTAATGCATCCAGTACATAGACAGGGACAGGATGTGTGTGGATGTACACACAGTGTGTATGGTGTGTGAGAATACACAGTTGAACCTTCGTAGGAGATAATTGGAGTGGGAATTAAAGATAAGAGATTATATAAAGGTCTAAAATGATGGATGAACAAGAAGGGATTTCTTTGCCTCTTGGGGGGGCATGAAAATCATCTAAAAACAGAACACTATCGGAATGACTCTACAGAGTCAGCTGTACAGTGGTCCGGCAGTGACACTTTTGTTTCTTACATACAGTTTCCTGCTTACACGTCCTGCGAAGTAACATTGGTTAGCTTTGCAAAGGTTGGCTCTGTTTTCCCTCAGCTGACAGAACTCTGGCTGATAACTGCTCCAACACATTGGGAACAACTACAAGAATGATAAGAGGGAACCAGAACAGAACAGTAAGAACGCAGAGAACCCAAACAGGACATCACACCATAGTTAACGCAATGTTTTATCAAAGTATTCATTAACGCCTTCATCCTATGCAAGGCTATCACACCACTGATCTCCCAGTGTGTCAGATGCACATGGATGTATTGTGTGTTTCAGTGTTCTTTGATAAGCTTACATGATGTTACTCTAGCTGATAGTTGCTCTATATTATGATTACACTG